ATATATATATAATATTTAATTTAATTATTTCAAGCCAAATAGAGTCAAACACGAACGAATAAAATTTTATTTATGTTTGGCTCGTTTATATATCAAGCACAAAAAAATTGTTCGTGTTTGACTCGTTTGCTTAGCGAATGAATCGAACACTAGCAATTTGTGAATAACTAGCCGTTTTGATTGCTCTAAGTGTAGCGCTCGGGCGACGTGGAAAGGCCCCTTGCTAGATAGTTTTTCCCCATTAAAATGTAATTTAATATCACTGTGAGCCTATTACTCACATATCAGATATTAAACTGATAAGAGCATATACTACTCATGCTCTCAGCGTTTTAAATAAAATAAAAATGATCAAAAAGTGAGAAAGTATATCATCATCTTCTTAATCAAGAGTCTTATCCCAATTATTTAGGCTCAGTTTGTTTTCATTTTTTTATTCATTTTTATTTTTATTTTATTTCACTTATATTTTGATTTAAATTAAAACATATTTTATTCAGCTAGGTGTTCTGAGTATTTTCAAAACAAATTGATTTGTTAAAAAAAAAAGAAAAATATATAACAAATATATCAATCAAAGATAGAAATGAAAGTGATGTCAAATGGAGCCTTAGGGTTTATTTTATTATTCCTCATCGTTCATTCATGCCATAATGCCGCCGAGGAATTATATGATTTTTATTTTACCCTTTTTTTTTAAATTTGTGCTAAAAGTTCTAATATAGTCCCACTGGGATTTTCATCAGGTACCAGTTACTAATTTTTTCGGATCAGTCATGAAAACAATTCACACAGACTCTCCATACAGAGCAGTCTCTTCCCAACCCAAAGTCCAGAAGAAGTCCATAGCTCTGGAGGAGAATAGCTTTGACATAACACATAGTGGAAATATAAAGGTAGTTTTTTTGGGGCATCTACGTACATGCCACTCAATTCTTATGTATTTACATATCTAAAACCAAACTATACTTTTCACATTCGCACCGCCCAAATCTTTCATATCATATCTTACACACTTTTATGCATGGTAAGGGTCATATATGTTAAAATTGAAATTTGGTGTTAGATATGTAAATACATAAGAATCGAGTTGTATGTATGTAAATCTTCCTAGTCTTATTTTTGTTTTTTTTTTTTTTTTTTTTTGAGTGGAGATTCTAATTATCAGATGCTTGCAGGAGAAACGGTGCAGTTTCCATCTCTGGATGGGCTTTCTGCATAAGAAGCTGGTGGAGAATGATGATTCAGATATAACAGCAGTGTATGGTTTTGGTTCCATGATTCTATTGCTCATTCTCTCCATATGGCTATCCAAATGAGAAAATTGAGTAAAATTTGCGCCTTTTGTTGATACCACTAACTCTAGAAGCACAACTAATCCATCTTCAGTTTTGAATTTCCCCCAAATACATCATACATTTACATATCTAACACCTGCACTTCAATTTTTACATATATGACACCTTACTTTTTCACTTTTTGTTGTGTTATATTTTTACGTGATATGCACTTGATAAGTTTTAGAAGTGAAATTTACGCACATAACACACAATTCTTATGTATTTACATGCCTATTGCATATAATTTGATATTTACATTTATAACATTTTGGTATTAAAAACCTATATGCATAAAAATGTGCATTTCACTTTTTAAAAAGTTAGTTATAGTGATATTTTTTTTTATGTGATATCAAAGATTTGAGTGGTAAGTATGCACATATTTAAGTTTAGGTGTTAGATTTGTAAATATAAAAATTGTGTGGCATGCATGTAAATGTCCCCTTTTATTTTCAAAACTAGAGTTGTCTACTACCTCATGGCAGTTGTTACCATCATCATTGTTGGGAGCAAGTGAATTTATTTTATATTATTTAAAATATTGAATTTTTTTTATATTATACTTTAGGTTTGTTGTTCCCTCAATTTGTAGGCAATTTTACCATTCTCGAGTCATCTAATCGAACTCGAGCTGACGAGCCAAGCTCGAGTCAAATTAACTATTTTTGAGGGATGCTCGAGCTGAATATTCAAGCTTGAATCGAGTTTGAAATCGAGCGCAATTTTAACTGTGAGAGCCGGGCTTGAGTTTGTTGTCTTGCATGGATACATGGATACTTTTTTAGAGCTTATAAATTATTTTTTAAAGTATTTTCTCTGCAAAAATTTAAGATTGAAAATTAATATGCGAGATTAATTCATTTTGAAGTCTTGATTGAATGATTTTTAATGTGTTTGATTTTGTTTAAAATATTGTTCATTGATTTAAAATTTTCTATAATTTTTTTTAAATTTTGTAGTTATTTATTTATTTTTTAATTATGTAAGGAACTATTAAAATCAAGAAGAATGTATTTGCATTGTTGCACAATATAGATTTGTATAAATTTGATTTTGTTAAATCAAATTAATAGAAGGAATGATTATTCTAAAAGATGGTATATGTTTTTTATATCTACGAGTTGAGAAAGGAAATCATGTGATTGATCCGCTTTACACGTGCAGCTTCTCTATCCGGAGTCCTGATCTGATATTTTCTCAATCACGTGACATGCTCTATGAAGGAAGAATGGAAATCACGGGAATAGAAAAGGCAAGTTTGGTTCGCGGCACAGTCACGTAAAATGAGAAAAAAAAATCGATGCTTGTTTGTAGTTATTTATACTATTTGATTGTAAAAAAATTATAATTTATATATTTTTTATAAATTTAATATAAACTAGTTAGACTCTAATTTGAAATAAATTCGATTGTGTCTTTATTTGTATTCATTGAATTATTTGTTAATAACTTTATATAAAAGATCAAATAATCATATAAAATTTAATTTGTTCACTAGTCTTATATTAAAAATCATGTATAAATAAAAAATTTAAATTTTATATGAAAATTAAATATTCATTTAATTTTTTAAGTAATATAAGCAAGTCAAATGTAAATTAAATATGTATATTAAAAATTATAAGAGCGCGACAAGTACAATAATACATGCAAAGCTCATCTAAAAATAAAACTAAATATGCAATTTATAATTCAACGCACTTAATGCGACTTCTTCTGCACCTTTGCAAGGCTTCGGCTCAAACCTTTCTCCTTATGACAGAGCCGAATATCTCCCTTCTCCTCCCTTTGGTTGGAGAGATTATTGCATGCAGAGTACGCACGCAGTTTTGCGTGCATAATCCCAAATAATCTCTCAATAACTAGTAATAACTATGAATAACATTAAAATAGAACCGCAGAGATTCTTTGAGGGTTATCATGGGGATATTTCAACGTTATTTAAGTTAATGCCTCAATAACTTCACAAAACCCTAAATAACAAATAAAAAAAAATGAACCGCAGAGATTAATGAAGTGTTATTAGGGGGTTATTGGGATATTATTGGAATTCGTGCCGCAATAACATTCCAATAACCTCCCAATAACCCTGAAATATGAAACCGCTGTGATTATTTGATGGTTATTAGGAGGGAGTACGCACGCGGCTCTAAGTGCGTGCTCGGAATGCAATAATTTTTCCTTTGCTTGCGGCTTGACAACAAGTAGCACATGACTTCGATAACTCTAAGCAACTCACATCAAGCAACGCCGTTTACTCTTTCTTTCTTTGTCTAGAGCACAGTTATCTTAAGCATGAAATTAGTGACTTTTCTTTTCTTTTTCTTCTTTCTTTGCTTCTTCCTTGCCCCGAAATTGCTATGCTTCTCCTGTGATTTCTTCTGTTTCGAATGTGAGTAAGTGTGGAAGAATTAGGTAATGCTTATTATAATGGGATGCATCTTCTGTAACGGTCACCGTCAGCGTTGGCACCTTTTTATATATATATTATTAAAATTGTAGTTATTATGAAATCATCTCCTAAACACCAACATGAAGTTCACATATCCTTTCCCAGCCTAAGACACGGCCCGCGGACCCGAACTGCGCTGCCGGTGGGCCGATAAATATAACCTAGTTCAGCCTTTGCCTAATCCACACCTAAGCTCCCTGCTCTCGGCTTCTCCACAGAAACGGGAGCAGAGCCTCGGCATCTCCATAGAAACGGGAGTAGAGCCTTCAAAACGGCCAAAGCAGCGCTAATCGACGGCCTCAAACCGGTATTTCTGCTTAATTTCATATACATTCAATAAATTTTCATGGAGTTTTCCATGATTACGTTGGCTGCTCGTTTCCGCTCCCCGTGTTTCTGTAAGTTGAAGACTTACCGTGCGCTTGTTCTAAACCTATTGCTATAACTTCCGTATAGCTTTTCGTCTTTGTTTTATTTAGATATGGATGGGTTCTTGTGGACCCGAGTGTGAAGATTCTGATCTGTGGCCTCATTCTAATTATTATTATTTGGATTCCGGTAGATGATTCTTTCTTCACCATTTACTTCCTTTGATTTCATGCTATATTTGATCTGCGCTTTTTGGCTTTCATGCCTACACATCTCGAAGAACTGCCCTCTTATTGCTGCATCGATTATGTTCTTCTCCTAATTTCTTAAATCAACTAACTTTGTACTGTTTAATCTCGTCTCTGATATATAATGCCCCCACAACATATCTAATAACATAGTTGATCATATATTTCTCTTAATGAAGTTTACTTTTCAAATCTTAATGCTATTCCTTCTCTATTGTATAAAGGATTTTAGCACCTTCTTCAGTTTAATTACCCAGCTTTACTACTGCTGCAGATTTTATCCTAATTATTTTGGGATAAATACATACAAGCCACCCAAAACATTGATATTTACAAATTAACCGCCCATTTGATTTTTTTTCAAACTACCGAAGCAATGTATTTATGCGCGCCGCGATCAAACTATTGAGAATTTGATAGAAATGAGAAATATGGGTTGGGTTTTACCATGAATTTTGATATTTGAGTTATAATTTGAAAATTGGTTTAAAAGGGCGATTGATTTGTAAATAGCAAGTTTCAGGTGGTCTGTATGTAATTGCCCCTATTATTTTTTTGGTAATGGAACCAAAAACAGCTAAACTAGTCACACTAAGAATTTACATTATCCTCCAATTGATTGGAAGGCACTCCACCTGAATTGTACACCATGGACTTAGTTTTTGTACTCTAATGCTCCACCTCTTAACTTCTTTTGGGAATATTTACATACATACCGCCCAATTCCTACGTATTTACATATCTAAGTATTTACATATCTAACTCTACGTATTTACATATCTAACTCCTAAACTTTAATTTTTTACATTTATACCACCCAAATGTTTCATATCGCATCAAAAATACTTTTTTCAGGCATAGGTAAGGTGGTATTTATGTAAAAACTGAAGTTTAGGTGTTTGATATGTAAATGCAAATGAATTGAGTGATATTTATGTAAATCTTCCTTAATAATATTATTGACAATATACATGAGCCATTGTTTTGCATCTTGAATATCTGTTTTTTAGACCTTAATGGCCAATAAAAAGGAACGGACTTTAAGATGATATTTAATGTAAACCAACCGTGATTGCACCCTTTTGGCCATCTTAAAATGCATTTTGAAAAAACATTTCAAGAATCTCTATGGCAAATAAAGAGATTGGAAGATTTGCGGACATAACACTCAATTCTTATGTATTTACACATCTAATCCATAAACTTCAATTTTTACATATTTGCCACGCTACCTATGCATGTAAAGGTGAATTGCACTTTTTTAAAGTTAGAATAGTGGTATTTTGATTTGATGTGAAAGATTTGGCTGGTATATGTAAAAAGCGAAGTTCAGGTGTTAGATATGTAAATACATAGGAATTGTGTGGTATTTATGTAAATATCCCCCAAAAAAATATAGATTTAGTGATGATTCTTAATGTAAACCAACTATCAATCTTGTTCGCCTTCTACAAACTTTTAATGCTAATCATTTATCTAACGAACATATTATATAAAATTATATTCTTTGCCACTCCATGCTTTTTCAAAAGTTTATTTGCCATAGAACTGTTCCATAACCGATCATCCTTGAACTAAATAAAGTGGATGATATAATATTTATGTGATTTTTACAATTTTTGTACAATCACTATCCTTCATAACTTCGTGAATCATATGCTTGATCCCTTGCATCTTCCTTAAATCTTAAACATTAACATTGGATGTTCTTTTGTCAATCATTTAAAATTTTCTTAATTTTAAGAAAATTGTTGAAATAAATATGTTAATCTTATATCATCTTTAACTTTTTAATCCTTAATAAATGTCTTGTTTGCCTACAACATAGATCATCAATTTATAACATTATTTCCATTTTTCAGTTTTATTGGCTTGCTTGTTTTTGTATATATCCCATAACATTTGTTCATTTGTTCTCTGCCATTCCTTATAAATTCATTACTCTCTCTTGAATAGCTTTTGATATTGCCGCAATCCACCAAGAGTCACCTTACTTGCAAAAGATCAATGATCTGTTTCCAGACAATTTAAAATTGGGTCATTTACATGCACAACATGCAATTCTTACTGATTTACATATCTCACATCTAAGCTTTTATATTTACACAACGACACTCAAGTCTTTAACATCACATAAAAAATAATACTATCACTACTTTTTTAAAAGGAAAATACCTCTTTTTATGCATAGGTTTAAAGCACCAAAAGTGCTACAAATTTAAACATTGAATTTTAGGTGGGGGATATATAAATACATAAGAATTGTGTATTACATGTGTAAATTTCCCTTTAAAATTCTAATTGCAATCTTTTTGTTATTCTTTTCCACACTATGTTTGATTCAATTAATTAAGCTCTAATTCATCTCATAGTCCGCTTTAATATATGGTTCTGCAGTTATGAAATGGTTTATAATTTGTTGGTAGATGCTCATTTGTGTAGACCACAACGTCTTAATTAGTTCAAACAGTGTTCTTTTCCAAAAATTCAATAGGATTCATGCAAGTCCGAGTAGTTCAGCTATAACTGATACGTTTTAGAAATAACAGCTATAACAGGTAAAATTCCCTTTAAATTTTTAATTGCAATCTTTTTGTTATTCTATTCCACACTATGTTTGATTCAATTAATTAAGCTCTAATTCATCTCATAGTCCGCTTTAATATATGGTTCTGCAGTTATGAAATGGTTTATAATTTGTTGGTAGATGCTCATTTGTGTAGACCACAACGTCTTAATTAGTTCAAACAGTGTTCTTTTCCAAAAATTCAATAGGATTCATGCAAGTCCGAGTAGTTCAGCTATAACTGATACGTTTTAGAAATAACAGCTATAACAGGTAAAATTCCCTTTAAATTTTTAATTGCAATCTTTTTGTTATTCTATTCCACACTATGTTTGATTCAATTAATTAAGCTCTAATTCATCTCATAGTCCTCTTTAATATATGGCTCTGCAGTTATGAAATGGTTTATAATTTGTTGGTAGATGCTCATTTGTGTAGACCACAACGTTTTAATTCATTCAAACAGTGTTCTTTTCCAAAAAATCAATAGGATTCATGCGAGTTCGAGTAGTTCAGCTATAACTGATGCGTTTTAAAAATAACAGGCACTTGATTCTTTTTGAAAATTTGATTCCTAGACTTAGCTTTCGGGAAAATAAATGTTGGTTAAGAATCTAGCAATTTCCGATGAAGATGTTTTTTGTTGCTTTGAGATGAGAACTATTGAGTTTTGGAAAAATTATAAAATGTTTCCAAATCTCAGGTAAGTATCGCTGCTTCGGCAATGATGATGGCTAGGGTGGAATATGTAGAGAGGCCATTAAGTAACAACGACTTGAGTCGTGTCTTGAAGTTTTTATAAATGATTTCACCTCTATATGTTTTATACGCTAATATGGTTGTGATTTCTAGGTTGGGGCTTGAAAAACACCATTTTTGTTTTTAGGATGCTCAAGAACCTCAGAAGGAAAAGTTGCGTTGTACAGAAATTGACTAAACTTGCTAATCCAGAGAATGGTACTCAAATTGCATTATGTGCACTTTATATATTTCCATTCTTCTATTTGTATTCATATTGAAGTTCTAATAGATTTAAATTTATATTTTGAATGTACTCTACTGATTTCTCTTATGTTTGGCATAAACTACAAGAAACATGACTATATGTTCTCACAAATAGAAGCTAGAAACAGGTCACTAAGCATGTTGCTTCAACTTATAACTTCTTTATTTAAAAAAAAAAAACAGAAAGAAGAAAATGAAAGCAAATCCAAGGTTAAGTTTAATGCAGTAATTAATTGCAGAATTAAAATATCATGTTTGTATTAAAATTCTCTTTCATCTTTTGCGGTAAAAGAAACCTTAGGCCATGTAAATTAGGTTAATGGATCTGTGAATTTTTGTCTTTTTTCCAACAGATGGCGTACTTCTGTATTCCGAGTTGCAATGTCAATCTACCATGCAAAAAATTCTTAAATTGAGGACATCTATTATTAAAATTGCTGAACTTTTTATTAAGAGCTTTAGTGAGGGATGATCTTGTCTCGACCTGACCTAAGTTTTGGAATTAATAAAGACGGGTACAAACGGTCGAACGGTGAAAATAGTATTTTTCTATATTCATTTTCTATAACAAACATATTAGAATATTAGACTATCATTATGCAAAATTATGCATTAATTGTTGTGATTTGTTTATATTTACTTTCCTTTTTTTTTTCCTTTTATTATGTTTTTATTTATTTCCTTACTAGTATATTCTGTAATTGGTATTTATACCCTTCTTTGCATTAATAAGATTTACCCTGGTTCTATTCTAACATGGTATCATAGCCATGTTCTTAACTTAGCTGTCGTTGGTACTCTTTGTGTCGTCGGCTGGCCAATTCAAACCGCCTACCCCCTTCTCCTTAGCCCGACAAGGCCTCTGCTTCAGCGACTGCTCCATGCCATCTCCAAGCCGTCTGCTTGCTCCGATCAACGTCTGCTCCAAACTGTTCGCATACTTCTTCGCATGCTGGAGGTGTCTGCCTACTCCAGACCGTCACCTTCAATGCAGATGAAAAAGGCGCTAGGGTTTTCTTAAAAATTCGCAGGGTGGAAGGATACCTCGCTACAGTGACCGTCATGGGAACACGAGACTTCATGTTGGATTTCTACCTTCGATAGTTTGTTCACATGAGCTTGAGGGCCTTTTTAGTAGATATGGAAGAGTACGGGATGTGAACTTGAAGTATGACTACGCCCGTGAGATGCAGACAATGTAAGGTATAGTTTGGACAGACGAGGATTTTACGATGCTCATATTATTGTTGAATTGGCCGGAGGGGGCCCATGTGGTCCCAAAACTAGATTCTCGTTGATAGCTTGGGAGGGGTGCACCACCTGGTTCTGGTTGTTGCTTCAATTGTGGTCTTGATGGACATTGAGCAAGGGATTGCAAAGCGGGGATTGGAAAAATAAGTGCTATATGTGGTGATAGTGGTGATATGGAGATGAATTGTCAGAATAGTCCGAAGGAGCTAAAGCATGGGCACAATTATTCTTGTTCGACATCTCGACGTGATGGAAGGAGTCGTAGTCGTAGCTATAGTCGAAGTTGGAGCTATAGCCTATCTCGATCTCCCACACCCAAGAAAGATAGTCGTTCTAGAGAACGTAATCAAGCTGCTTGGATCCGGCCAGCTCCCTTTTGGCGCGTCGACTGCCCGCGTTCGTCAAAGTACCATTCCTATGACACTCACTTTTTTATCCCTTGTAGTCCATGGATCATTGATTCAGGTGTCATAGATCACGTGAGTGAAAACTCTTAAGCCTTCTCAACATATTATCCTCACTCAGTGAAATATATTGTTAAAATTGCTGACTGGTCCCAAAGATCCATTGTTGATAAAAGGTTTGTTGTTTTAGCAACAAGTCTAACTCTAAAATGTGTGTTACATGTATCTCAGTTGAAGTGTAATCTTTTATCTGTCGATAAACTGACATTTGACATTGCTTGCGTTGTCGTTTTTCTGATGTATGTGTCTTTCAGGATCGTTGTTCGGGGAGGATGATTGGAACTGTTAAACGGGTTGACAGACTATACTTCTAAGAGAAAAACACACAAAACAAAGACACCCCACTTAGTAGTTGCAGTTTATTTCAGTTCACTGAATATCTTGTTATGTTGTTACACTATCGTTTAGGTCATCCTAGTTTCCAGCATCCAAAATAATTGTATCTGGTGATGTATACTAATAAAAATCATTTTAATTTTAAATGTGAAACTTATTAGTTAGCTAAACATCATCGTGTCCCTTATCCCCCCACAATTACACATCTTTCGCTCATTTCTCTCTTATTCGCAGTGACTTATTGGAACCCTCTCACACTCCTAGTTACACCAAACAACGGTGATTTCTTACTTTGATTGATGACCACACTCGGATGACATGAGTCTATATTTTAGAAGATAAAGCTGAAGTTGCTGTCACTTTCAAGAACTTCCACATCTTCTTTTTGTTCCAATTCAAAACTTATATTCAAGTCCTCGCGATCTTTTTAACTCTATATTATGAGAATTCTTGGTAAAAGCATCATTCATCATAACTCGTGCACCGACACTTCACAAAATAAAGCAACCGAAAGAAAAAACCGACAACTCCATGACTTTCTTGTTCAATTATGTTTTAATTTAATGTTTCAAAACGTTTCTGAAATGATGTCATTTTTACCATCATTTATCTCATCAATAGAGTTACTTAAGGAATTCACAACTTCCGTACTCTTTTAGCCGTCTTGAGATCGTGCTTTCCTAACAATTGGGTCTTCTCTACTTGAGATCTCAAAATTTTTGGGTACACAACCTTTATTCGGAACACGACCCCTACGTGGAGTAAACTTGATCCAAGTTTCATAAAATATTGTTCCTCGAATACGCAGCCACTTAAAAGGGGAATTAATGCCTTGAACCTACCACAAATAAAATCTATGTGACTGTTGTTAGCTCCTTTTTTGAAAATGTTGCCTACTTTTCTAACTCGACCTCCAGTTAGGGGAGCTAGAGGTCTTGGACATTGTTCCTTATCTTTACTCCTGTGGATGTTCCCCCATGTCACCATCCATTGAGGAACTCTCTGTTTCTTTGGTTCCACCCACTTCTCCTATCACAAAGGAGTCCTTTGTCCCTTTGGTTCTACCTGCACATTCTTCCACGCTTGGTGTCTACATTCGATGCACTCGTTCTGGTTCACGTACTATGGAGCTTGCTAACCCCTTGCTGAACCTTAAATCCCCTTTAGAGGACACCTCCAACACTGCTCTTACTCCAAATGAGGAAGTCAGTTCATCTATTAAGTTATGCAATCAGACAAAATCTCTCTATCCCATGGCAAACTCTCTCTTCGTAGATTATCGCCAATCTATAGAGCATTTGCTACGGCTTTGACCAATCATCAGCTTCCATTTACTATTGAGGCTGCCTTAGCAGACCCAACCTGGTAAACTGCCATCATGGTGGAGATGAATGCCATTCAGTGGAACCATACTTGAGACATTGTTGATATTCCTTGGGGCAAGAAAGCTGTGAGATGCCGATGAATTTTTAGCATCAAGTTTAAATCTAATATTTCCTTTGAATGCAACAACTTATTGTTGGTCGCCAAAGGGTACTCACAGATCTATGGAGTTGACTATGAGGAGAAATTTGCTCCAGTTGCTAAATTGAACACTATTCAAGTCCTCTTATCCCTTGCACTGAATTTGGATTAGCCCTTATCTAGCTTGATGTCAAAAATGTGTTCTTGAATGATGAACTTACAGATGAGGTATGTATGACTCTTTCTACATGCTTTGACTCCAATGCCTCCTAGGGGCAAGTATGTAGACTGCAAAAATCCCTCCAGGGATTGAAGCAATCATCACGAGCATAGTTCGGGAACTACTCTCCTCTTTTGGCATTACTTCAACGGTCAGATAGCTCCCCTTATTGTCTATGTTGACGATATTGTTTTCACAAGTAATGATCTACCAACATTGAAGTCTTTGAAAGCATGCTTGTTGCCTCCTTTGATATTTCCTGTTCTTCTTAGGTATGGAAGTCGTTCAATCATCTCAGGGTATTTGTTTGTCTCAACGAAAATATGTGATTGATTTTCTTATAGAGAACGATCTTCTCCTATGCAAACTAGTGGTTGTCTCGATGGATCCCAATGAAAATTTCTTGTTGTTCCTAATGCAGTTTTTGACAAGACTCACTACTAGCATCTTGTGGGAAAACTCATCTATCTTTGCCCATACAAGCCCCGACATACGCAGGATAGTCAATTCATGGATGATCCTTGTAAGCACCACCTCCAAGCTGTCCACCAAATTCTACACTATTTAAATGACACACTGGGCTCAGGTTTATTTTTTTCTCGCCACATCTCTCTTTCTATGCCAGTTTACATAGACACAGATTGGTCTGGGTCCGTCCATGATTAACGATCTACGTCGGGGTACTGCTCATTTGTGTGAGAAAACTTGTTCACTTCGAAAACCAAGAAGCAGTCTGCAGTTGCTCGGAGCAGTGTGTAAGCCGAATTTCGGTCCATGTCCATACGAATTTGTGAAGCTCTCTGGTTACGCATCATGCTTCATGAACTACATGTGACAGTCTTCGCATCCCTACATTTGTTTTGTGATAATAAGACTGTCATTAGTATTGCTCACAACCCGGTCTAGCATGATCACACCAAGCATATTGAGATTGAGACCGTCACCTCATTAAAGAAAAGCTCGAGTTTGGGAAAATTTGTGTTCCATTTGTGCCATCTAGCAGCCAACTGACAGAGATTATCACAAAGAACCTTCATCAGCCACTGTTCGATGATTTCAAATCCAAGTTGAACATGACTGATATTTATGCTTCAACTTGACGGGGAGTATTAAAATATTACAATATTAATATGCAGAATTCTATATTAATTGTTGTGATTTGCTTTTATTTGTTTTTTTTTCTCTTATTCTATTTTTATTTGTTTCTAGTAAATCTTGTAATGTGTATTTATACCCCTATTTGTATCAATAAGATTTATTTTGGTTGTATTATAACATAACATTTAACAAATTAAAGAGTCATTAAAAAAAGAAAATTAAATTAAAGTTGTTATAAATTTACCTCAAGTCATGTTGTTCGCGTATTCAATCAACACTTCTTTTCTATCGCTCATTTTTTTTTAAATAATTAAACCTGTAATGTTAATTTAAACCAACAATTAATTAAATAGCAAGTGAAAACTTATACTTCTATAATATAGTAATACAATGAAAATAAAATGATAGACATGCTAGTTAAATTTTATGTAAAATCAATTTAAGTATATTTGAAGTTTTGTACGTTTTAATATGATCATTCAAGAGAATTTTAAACATGTATCATGTCTTACGGTATCGTTTATATATCAATATCATTTTAAGTTGTATACAACCGCCACAGAAGCGTTGTATAAAATTGTGCCAATTGAGTCTATTTGGAATTAAGAGTCTGTTTAGGACAATTTTCTGTCGGATTTGCTTTTTAGATCGTCATCACAGATCTGTTTGGGAAACAACTTTCTTGCTAGTTTTTAGAAATTTATGTGGTAGAAGTTTTTTTCAACTTGGGCTGTTAAAGTGTGGCGACTATCAAAAAGTTATGATATGACTTTTTGATAATAAATAAATTTGTGATAGCCACCACAGTCTTTTGAAAAACAGTTTCTTCTATAGTAGTTTCATAACTATTTTCTTAAACGACTGTAGCTGTCCCAAACAAACCCTAAGACGCATTAATATCAATAGTTTTTTCAATTTATGTTCACTAGTACCTTCGTGTTCCCCTTTTTATCATAAGGGGGTGAACTCTATCATGGTCAAACATGCACGTAGATTGAATTTATGTAGTTTATATCATTCATACATCTATTTCATTCAATTCATTATATTTTGTATACATAATGCATACTACCTTTTTCTTAAAATGAAAAATCTTCATAATAATTGGCACAGGGTTTATTCCCCTACCGCTCCTACTAAACCGGGCAGACTTAATAGGTTCAGTCGAGACTGGGTGAGGGCCGGTCGGCCCTAAGTATTGTGATTGCCACCCAATTAGGAGAGGCCCCTACCTCTCCTCTCTATCAAAATAGTATTTATATGTGTGCTTTGTGTGTCTTAGGGATAGCTTGTCCTATTTTTTTATTTCAGTTTGTGAGGGCAGCCGCGGTGTCCTATTTTTCTCTTCTAGGGTTGTATCTGACGATTAAAGTGGTGCTCCGGCTATATCCCTCTCTCCTGTGAGGATCATCTTTCTCCAACTTCCACCTCAACCTCCCCTTCTTGCTGCTTGGGGGTTTCCCCGCAGCTTCTCTATCCCCCGACCCCGACCCCGCAGCTACCCGTTTCTACCTTTCCTCCCTGTAGACAACCATAACTTCTTACCCCGCAGGCCAGCCGTTGTTTGCTGCAACCTTCTCCAACGCAACCCAAACGCTGCAGCAGCCCGTCCCAGATCTTCCGCTCTCTCGTAACTCCCCTTATTTCTGCTTCCTGCAGCCAGTCTTAAACTCCCCTTATTTCTGCTTCCTGTCGCTGCTCCCACCCCCACCCGCCTGCAGCATCCCACTACCAGCCACTTCCACTGCATGTACGTGGCCTGCCCTCCTCTCAGCAGCCAACCCTTTCCACACCCCTATCCTGCTGCCTTAGCCATTGCCATATCCCCTGCTGTAATGACAACAACCCTCTTCTCCCACCTGCTGGCTTGACGTCAGCCACCACCCACGTCGTCAACTTCGGTGCGTGTTTGTATTGTCGTTTATTTCCTGTTTTGACGAGTCTTGTGTAACACTTTTAAATTTCCACAATAATATTTATATATTTATGGCTATTTTGGTTAATTCCGGTATTATTTGGTACCAGAGCTAGTCTAACTCTAGTCCTATCTTAGGATCTGCTAGCCAATTTTCAGCATGGCTAATCTTCAAAAACAACTTTTTGGGTTTTTTGTTTATTTTTTAGGGTAAAGTTATAATGTTTGAGAAAATTATTAAATAGTTAAAACAATTGGGAAATATTTATAAGTTAAGAGCTTAATTTTAGATGAACAAAGAATAATGAGAAAATTATTAAATAGTTAAAACAATTGGGAAATTTTTATAAGTTAAGAGCTTAATTTTAGATGAGCATGTTATACAATTTTAATGGATGTCAATATATTTTTTATATTTGTTTTTTATTTTATTCTTATTTTGTATCGTTTTGTTTTGCTTTGATTTCATTTTACTTCTCTTTTTTTTTTTTTTTTTTTGCACTTACAACAATGAAAATAAAATAAAATTGTGTTAGGATGGGATGGTAGTATTTATTTTATTTGGTGAAACAGAAAATTGATACATGATGGGAAACATAGAACAAGAAAACATTAATCTACATTTTATTGGCATAATTAGGCCTATTTGATCCATAATAAATTGCATCCAAGCACTAATTATTCTAATTAACCTTTTCTAAGTTCCTATTATACTTATTTACCACTGTAATCAGAAGTTAATTAATAACTTATATGGTTAATTGATCTTTAAAGTTCAATTATATTATTCTAGCCCAGGTTTTGTAACCATACTTAAACAACCTTGATATTTTAACATGATCAAACACTAATTATCTTACATAAATAGTTGAAAGAGACATTGGCCTATTCGTTAAATATTTCCTAGGACTTAATTACAATCACTTGAAATTATTATTAATGTCTTCATAAATAAGTCATCAAAATTAATTTTGTATCATTAATTATTTAATTAATTAGCTATCTCAAGTTCAATTACCTAGATGGAACTATAACGGTCACAAATCCTATTGATGATAGTATTAATACTTAACTCTAAAATACAATGTAGCCTGCAATTAATTTTGATGCAATTTTTTCGTGTTATACAGGCTATGTATATCCGTGTAAAGCGCCACAAGACGACCTACTTTATACAATGTGATCCAACCGAGTTAACTTTAGACATCAAGCAGAAATTACAAGGATTGATTGACCGGCCAAGTAGTAACCAACGGCTAACGTTGTTATCAACTAATGAGATATTGGATGATTCAAAGACCTTAGCTGAGCAGAAGGTACTGAATTTGGACAAAAAATTTGGAGGTTGTTCTTATGGGACATTTACATACATACCACCCAATTCATATGCATTTACATATCTAACACCTACACTTTAACTTTTACATTTATACCACCAAATATTTCATATCAAATTAAGAATAGCACTATTTTAAATTTAAAAAAGTTAAATACTCCATATATACATATATATATATATATATATAATCTGTGTGTGCGCGTAAATTGAAGTTTAGGTGTAAATACACAAGAATTGAGTGGTATGCATGTAAATCTTCCTTTTTCTTCGGGGGTGTTTACATACATGTCACCCAATCCTTATGCATTTACATATCTAACACCTAAACTTTAATTTTTACATTTATACCACCCAAAACTTTCATATCACATCAAAATTACCACCATTTTAACCTTTAAAAAGTGAAATACACATTTTCATACCTAGGTAAGGTGTTATGTATGTAAAAATCGTATGTAAAAATCGAAGTTTAGGTGTTAGACATATAAATACATAGGAATTGACTGGTACATATGTAAATCTTCCTTTTTACATTTCTACCACACGAATATTTCATATGACATCAAAAGAACTTCTGTTGTAACTTTTAAAAGGTGAAGTGTGTCTTTTCATGCTTAGGTAAAGCGGCATACATTTAAAAATTGAAGTATAGGTGTTAGATATGTAATTACGTAAGAAATGAGGGGCATGCGTGTAAATCTATCTATTTTTTTTGATCTCTGGCCATCAACTTGACCATTCTTAGTCTTTGCAGGTTGAGAATGATGCTATTGTGGCTTTGACCCTGAAGAAAGGTTTGTTCTTTATCTCATTAGTTACAATGTGTTTAAATGTGACAACTTATTCTGTTTGATTCCTCCTTTGAGTGTATTGAGCAGGTTCTCTCCTTTAGCTTTTTTTAAGCTTTTACATGAATAACATGCAAATCTTGGGAATTTACATATCTCACACCTCAACTTTCATTTTTACATGCATAGCACTCAAATCTTTAATATCATTTAAAAAATAACAGTATTGCCACTTTTTAGAAGTGAAATATATATTTTCATGCATAGGTTTAAAGCGCCAAGGTGCTATTAGTGTAAATATTAAATTTTGGGTGTGAGATATGTAAATGCACAAGAATTACTCTCATTGATTGAGTTTTTCCTGTTGAAAACATAATATAAGAATATAACACATTTTTTATATTCCAATTGATAGAAGAGGTACAATATCTATAGGCTTAAATTATGGATCTAGAATAGAAAGAAAGCTAGGGAAATAAAATCAGGTGTCATAATCAGCCTAGTAAAAGAGGAAAATAGGGATATAATTATTTACAATAAATTAGGGAATGAATGCAGCAAATAACTCCTTTTTTCCTCAAGAGGGAAGCTGGTAGACTACATTTGGAAAGGTCAGGGCTGGTGGATCACATGTCTGGCGGGCTTAGATTGGGTGGAGCAGCTATTGGGCCCGCTTGTGGGATCTTAAGGGGTTCCGGGAATGCTGCATCCCACATGGTAGCTGTGGTAGTTACTGTAGGACTGGATTTTCACAGTCGCTTAAGTTGAAAATATATGTTGATTATTCCTAACTTGGGAGTAAGGTTATCAAATTATTATCGGTCAGTTTTGTTGGAGTGTAATTCATTTGTATGATATTTTATTAATTATCTTCTTAACAAGATGTCTATCAATTTCAACATTTTGGGTTCTTGACAATGCTAATAATAGCTTGGTTGTAGATCTTTTTTTAATTCCCCATTTAACTAAATTTTCATGTACAAATGAGCAATAACGAGATGTGGAGTTACGATATGTTATAGATCCAGTTCAGTTAGCATGATGAAAATTTCTATATTTTGTTAGTCGCACTTATGAAAATTGACTTTTTTAGGTGCATTTTTAAGGTACCGTAGCATCATTTATACAACATCAAGGTGCTCATTTTCGGGTTTATTCGCAAGGTAACAAAATATACTAACAGCAATGCAAAAATCAGGTTAAATGTGAGATAGGTAAATATATTTTTTTAATTAATCGTCGGCACCTTTCTTTATCAAATGGGGTTGAATCTTCCTTAGTTTCAACTTTCTTTAATGGATCCATAGGTGTATTTGCATTTACACTCAAGCTGGCTAGCTTTCTTTAATAAGTCTAACGTGTATTTATTGCAAGATGGATAATCCCTTTCCATTCCTATTTTAATAAACCATGATTCTTGATTTCATATTCTTTGGCTAAGATGTCTTTCAACTTATTATTCATTTAGATGATTACATGTTAAGGTGCCAAATTATGCTTGAGAGTGCCCATACTTTTTAATCATGACAACATATATGTTAAACCAAATTCTTGGAGATTATTTTGAGCCATACAAAGGTTATTAAGTTTGTCGACTTGATTTATTCTTTTTTTATTCTAAAATTTTGGAGGGATTGTCATATTATTGTCATCTTCTAAATTGCCTTTTAGTAAGTATTTTTTTACATCTAGTTCATGTAGTATCCAATCTAAATTCGTAGTAAGTGAAAAAAATTATCCTGATATGACATCCCAACAACTAAGGCAAACATTTCTTAATAATCAATTCATTAGATTTAAGCGGAATATTTTGCAACCTATCTTACTTTCATCATCGAAAGTACCCTTAGATTTGAATATCACATTGAATCCATTTGCATCCAAGATATTTCTTCTCTTTGGAAAGATTTGAAAGAGCCCACATACAATTTCTTTTCGGACCTAAATTTTTGTGTGAACCATATTTTTTTCATTATAGTAATTTTAGGGCTTCTTGATTCTATTTGAGATTTTTTGTGCTCACAGAGAACTTCGGATATAGTTTGTTATGGGGATTATTGTCACAACCTGACCCGGTGCTTGGAATTAATTAAGGTGGGAATTGCGGTCAGACGGTTTTAATATAACTATACACATTTTGAAAACTTTCAATACATATAAAAGAGTCATTAATTCACAAAGTGCAATAAAATCTAAAGCATCAAGAAACAATAACATCTAAATACAATATCTCAAACCAGTACTAAACAGTATAACATTATCTGAAAGAAACAGTAAAGAGAAACTATCATCATAAATATTCCTAGCAACAATGACGCTTCTATAAACCAAGTATCTCATATCAGACATATCAACCTAAAACTTTCCTTCTCTTGAACAAAAATATTAATTGCAACCGTAAGTATAACTTAGTGAGTAATTATAATCTAATATGCATTAAATTCTTATGTTATGTTATGCATAAATGACCTCTTTAATAGTCATCACAGGATTGCCGTCATAACCGAAGTTATTCTTAAAAATGTTTCTGAAGGCATTCTTAAAACTGTATCTGAAGGTACCCTCAAATTGTATTTGAAGGTACCCTCAAGTTGTACCCGAATGTATAGTTTTATCATTTTTTTTAACGTGCTCGGGTATATTGCATTCTCTGTCAGTACCATCGGGGGTAATCATGTATGACTTAATTATTTACTTATCATTTTGTTTCCTTTAAAGTTCCTCTTTTTAAAAACATTAAACATTCATTTTCCCTTTTTCTGTTTATTTTTTTTAATTCTTAAGTTACAACATGCATACAATCATAAAATAATTGTAAAGAAATTATTTAATTAATAAACTTTAAATTTAATACATATAAGAAAATAATTACTCACCTTAGCTTACCAGAGATTTCTGAAATATTTTCCACTAACTTTTTTGGACAATCATCTGTATTAATTAAATGTGTAAATCATTTGATAAAAATCCTATTCTTAAATCCTATTCTTAAAAGAAATCGTTAATATATCTAATGTCATACAATTAAAATGACACTTGAACAATTATACAATTTCTTACCTTAAATGTTTGATTTGCTTACCTGCACAGATTTTTTTTTTGTTTTGCAACTTTAATTGATTTAGCCTTTAATCTTTTACCTTTAATGCCTGACTAAATTAAACATGTTATTAGCATTTAGTAAGTAAACCAATAGATTCAATTTAAGAAAATCGACATCATTAAACATTAAATACAAGATTTGGTTCTTACCATTCGCACATAAAGCCCAATTTCAGGCACAAGCCAACTCCTTTTTCCTTGGCATCAAAATCTGTCACTTACGATGCCTATTTCAAGTGATTGTATATTAACATATTAATTAATTAATTTCACCTTGACACATTATAACACACACATATATATGTGTTCTCATATAACAATATAAATAAATTAATTTTTTAAAAATCTCAACTATACCTTGTTAGCTTTCGACTTCCTTAACCATACACACACTCGAAGCTCTCCCCTTCTTCCTCCTTTCGGTCTCGGCTCGAACGCGCGAGCCCTTCTTCCTTCGGTCTTGTGCCATCCCAATAGAGCACGCGAACTTCGACTCCCTCCTCCACGTCACGTCTTGTTCTGCATGCGAGCACGACTAGTAGGTATTCTCCTCTGCTTCTCCTTTGCAAGGCTGAACAACCCTAACAGTCGCACACAAGGTTGGCTGCTTCGGCTTCTCTCCCAAAGACAACACGTCTTCAATTGTGTCGCGTTCCAGGTAAGCCCTCGACACCACTTCTTTCTTCTTCTCCTTCTCCTTTTTCTTCCCTGCACCGAAGTTGCTCCTCTTCTCCTATGATTTTTTCTTCTCCTTTCTCCTTGGACTTCTTCCTTTCTCCTATGGCACAACCTCCCTTCTCGATCTCTCTGCTCTCCCTCTCGTTCCTTTCTGTTTCGAATGAGAGGAAGTGTGGAATGAGCGCGAGTTAACATTCATGCGAGGGGGTGCAACCTTCCTAACCTGCACTTATTTTTATTTATTTTATCATTAGTATTATTATTTATTAATATTATTATTCTTTTTATTCTTTTATTAAAATTTTAGTTTTTACAACTATAATGATGGCACTATGTTTGAGCAAGTTGTTATTGCTCTTCTTGAGGCAACAACAATGGGACTTTTTAAAACCTCTCCAAAATTTACATTGCTCTTATGAAGCAATGCCAGGACTATTTAAACATGAGATTTGATTCAAGAAAAATGCTTCTTTCTACATTGTCGTTTGAATTTTTCGACCACCAAGATTAAGCGATTCTATGTAATCATTGTATGTGATCATTGAATCATTGTATGTGATGGCTTTCATTGAATTTGAAAAATTGAGATTGACATTCAAGTGATTTTGGAAGAGGTGTAGGTTGAGACATCGATAACGCAGGATTAGTATTAATGAAAAACCCATATTCATGGATTGAGTAGACTCTCTCTCCATGAATATTGGTTTTGGGCAAAAATCATTGATTTCGAAGAATGTTAGTTCACTTTGTAGTATGGTATTTGAATCATTGTTGGTGAGGAGAGTAGCCAATAAAAATGCATTTTTATGGCTTTTGGGTTCGATTTGCTTCTTTGATGAGAAGAAATATACACAAAAGAAGAGCTTCGACTATGATTGTGAATTGGGTTTTGTATAAAGATTGAAAATTTTGAGAAATGAAATTGTTTCCAACATGCCTTTCTTTAGAAAATTTAAGTGCTTTTAGTGTATTCATTAGTGAAACATATGAATCACCTTGCACCTGATATATTTTCTCTTGGGATGAGTCTCGTATATCATGAGTGGTAGCAAAAGGTTGAGAGGCTTTGTAAGGATGAGTTCATGCAATTGCATGAACTTAAACAATATATATATGTCTCAGCAGTGCGCATACTGTGGTCTGTTGGTAGAGCAGTCTCTCTGACAGTTGTAAGTCCTCTTAGGTCACGTGTTTGAATCCCCCCGTGTGTAGGGTGTGGTACTCAAATATTTCGGCCACCTAGGGATGGCCGGGGCTCGTCTAATAGCCTTCGTCCATTCCTTTAATTATATATATATATACATATATATATATATACTAGTTCTATGTAAACTTTTTTTTTTTTTCATAGAAAAACTATTTTGTTTTTGGTTAACAGTTAACTGCACTAATTTATTTTTGGGAAATCTACATACATGCAACACAATTCCTCCGTATCTACATATCTAACACCTAGAATTTGATATTTATATCTATAATACTTTGGTGTTATAAACCTATCCATCGAAAGATGTACTTCACTTCTAAAAATTTAATTGTTGTCATACTTTTGATATGACATTAAAGATTAGAATGTTATATATGTAAATATGAAATTTTAGCTGTCATATATGCAAATACATAAGAATTGTGTGGCATGTTTGTAAACCCCCCCTTCTATTTTCATTTATTTCTATTATTTTTTTTTCTCTGATTAAACTTTTCTCCTAAGCAGATGACAATGAGTTTGAGGAGGTTTACATCGCAAGGGTAGAGGACTTCACTCCATTCTCTTAATTTGATTTATACTAGTCATTAATTACTTTGAACATTATGGTTTATTGAGATATTAGACCCAATATATTTTGAGATCAATTCTCCTTTTCATGCTAAACTGTATAACTAATGATATGGACTTCAATTTTCTATTGTTTTTTAACCCTTTCTTTTCTCAATTTGCAAATGCATATTTACATCCATGATACAGAATTTGAATTAACACTTGTAGTTTTTATTTCTGGGGCATTTACATATGTACCACCTAATTCTTATGTATTTACATATCTAGCACTTATACTTTACTTTTTATATTTGTCGTATCATTTAATAAATAGCATTTAGCTAAGGTGTAAAAATTAAAGTTGGGGGTGTTAGATGTGTTAATACATAGGAATTAAGTGGTATGCATGCAAATATTACCTAATTTTTTGGTATTTGCATATCTAACACTCCATATTCACTTTTATAACAATTAGGTGGCTTAGTCTAGTAATAATGGTACTTTTGATTTGATATTAAAGATGTGAATATAAAAAATAGGGTGTTATATGTGTATGTGGTATAAAGTATTTGTGTTATAAAAATTCAATATTTGTAATTAATTTTTTTTATTGAAATAAATGGAGATAATAACTTTATAATTGCTTTTATAATGTTATCTTATCATTTAATAGTTCCTTTTAATATACCGTTTTGCTAATTAAATTTGTTTTTAATCATTAACTTTTTAAACTAATTGATTAATATCTTTTTTAGTCAATTTAAATAAAATTATATCATTTGAATAATGTTTTAATTTAATGATATTAATAATTTATGAAGACCCTCACTCTGTTTATGTGGGGGTACTTGGGCTTGGGCTTGGAACCAAGAACATGATCTAAATGGAAGACTTGATAGAGCTTGGAGTTGTAGAAAACTTTTGAGCTCTAAACCCAAAATCGATTCTTAGTTCACGCCTCTACAACCCTGAACCACTGTGTTGGGTCACGCCTCTACGACCAATGAACCCACCCTATGTGACCTTGTTTCTACGGCCTCTGGACCACCCCTTTGGGTTATGACTGCATGACTTTTGAACCCGCCTTTTGAGTTGGATACAAGTTCCGTGCGCTTTTCTTCTCACCCTCTTCTAAGATTGGATATTACTCTCAGAGCTTTCCTTTTTAGGGTAGTTGGCTCCTTGTGGCTGCTTGGGTCATATCGGTTGCACAATTAGATTGGAATTGATAAAAAATTGAACTTCTTGCAACAAGTGCACTGTTCTTAACGACGTAACACACTTGTTGAGGGTTCTTTATTGACATCAATTTTTAATGTCTTCAGTGTAAGATGTCTGCTCGAGTTCTATAAAATTTTGTTTGATGTATGTGTTGATTCTCATAGTGCAAGCATCCATGTGATACATTTCGACGCGTGTTGAGGAACACGTTGTTGACATTGTTTTGCTAAACTTAGGTCGTCACTCAGCTGAAGCCTAGTCGGCATATTTGTCTGTCGGACGGCTTTGATACTACAGGTAGATTTGATTTGTCATGCAATGTGAGAAACTTTCAGAAATTAGCTAGTCACAAAATTTTTCAGATAATCTTGGATGACAAAACGTACTGTGCGAATACATCTGGAATGCCAATTTTATATAAGAAGTATATCCATTTTATAATGATTTCGTGCAGGAGCTTACAACACCATAAATCAGAATTTTAAATATTCAAATAATAATAATAATAAATCACTTTTAAAACTCATGCACCCCCCTTCCCTCTCCCGATCGCGCGAGCCTAGCCCCATTTAGCGAAACCGCCGGCCCTAGCCCCCGCGCGTTCGCTACTTGCGGCGAACGACTCCTCGTCCCCCCGACGCCTGCAGCCCTTCCTCTCACGGAGCTCACCCGACCGACCGAAGCCCTTGCTGGCTCCCTCAGGCTCTTGCTCCCGTCGGCAACCCCGCCTACGGCATCCTGCTTCGCGGCGCCTTCTCGCCATTTTCGTGATGCCCTAGAGGCCTTAGCCTCACACGCCGTCTCTCCCTAGCCCCCTCCGGGGACGCTTCAGGGGGTCCCTCACTCCGGACAGCCTCATCTCTCTGTTCGGCAGGCCCCCCGCCCGCCTCTCTTCTTGCTGCCCGTGAGCCTTTTGCCTCTTCTCCTTCGCGGTTGGTAGCCCGAGCTGCCGGAAAACAACACCTCCTCCGGCTTCCAATCCTTCGAAAGGTGTGTGCATCTTTGTTTGCTGTGATATTTATTTTGGGTAGTCGCTTGCTGTCTCTTCCGCTCTCACTCATTTGCGTGGTCCGTTGCGAGATTCATCGGCTTATGGACCGGACACCGACTCCTTGGGGCAAGCGGTGAGGACGTCCTCATCCTTCGCGGTGGTGAGAATCTTAAAACTCCCTAGCCAACCCTACGGTGAGTCTAGCCTACGCGTGTGAGTTCGGTCGCCCACGCGGGCTAAGTGTGCCGACCGACGTTAGTCGGCATGGCCAAGGCACCTTTGTGATGGGTCGTTGATTCCTAGATCTAGCCCATGATAGTAATCATGTGGTGGTCATATCTCTCTACGGAGCCGAGTGATTTCTTGTTGTGAGCCTTAGGACAAAATCCTGGCGGGTTAAAGTTCCTATCGCCCCTTGCTTTAGTTTCCCCAACTTTCTTTGGAGAAATTGGGATGTTTAGGTTTTGTAAAGTGAGAAAAACTTTATAGCTAGTTTACATTGCAAAGTCCTGAGGAGTTGTGAAATGGGAAAAACTTTGTAGCTAGCTCGTTTGGCCTCCTACATACTACCGTCAAATCACCGTCGGCCGTCTATGCCCATTGGATTAATGTTGTTAAATTGCAATCATCATTAGTTCATAGCCATTATTTGGCCTTCACTGTTCAACCAATGCCATCAAATCATTGTTGATGCCCGATTATGTTATTCTTACCTCCATTGCCCAACTATTATTCTTAATCATTGCCTCCTGATTACAATCGCTTAATGTTGTTCATCAATGCCCAACTACAATGCCCGATCTCTTGATCTTCATTGCCCTAAAACAGCCTTTCATCCGTGGTTGCCTAACCTTTTATCGTTCATTGACATTTTTCCAAAAACCATTGCTCTACTATAGTTGTTTAACTGCCATTACCTGATTGTGGGCTCTTGAGCACCATCTCCTACCTATTGTCTTGCAATCATGAAGGCCCACTAACTTTGTTGAATGTCATTGCATGTCATCAATATCAATGTCAACTCCCCATTCTTGTAATAAATCATTGCCAATAATGTTGACGCGCGCAATTGTTCATGAGATTGATGCACGTCGTCAATGTATGTCGTTATTTAAGGTCTTGTATTGTTGATGCACACTGTCAATAATAATGTTAATACTTGCCAAACCCATTGCTCATCACGCTATTAGTGTTAATGGTTGCGTTTGTTGTTAAGATCGAGTCACCATTCACACTAATATTATATCGAACTTGGTGGTTTCTTAACTCCTCTTCTCAAAGAAAAACAATCAAACATATAAGAAATGATCTTTTTAACATGAGTAATGTCTCCATGCTCCTTTAGCTTCATCATGGAACCAATTTTGAATAATCCATGCCTGTTAAAATATATTAACGCTTTCCCTAAGCACAAGAAAAGATCGTATTTGTAACCTATAATATACATTAGTGGAATCATTTAATCTATGCAAAGTCATGTGAGGTTTGTTTATCCTTAGTGTGGGGGTTGGTGGGGGGATATATACATTAGTGGAATCATTTAATCTATGCAAACCCATTGCTCATCACGCTATTAGTGTTAATGTATATTTGTAACCTATAATATACATTAGTGTTCTCTTTATTATTTTTACCTATGTGCATGCTGAATCTTACATTTGATATATAAGTAAAATGTTAATAATGTATTATATCATCACGGATTTCCTGCACATAATAAATTTAACTATAATATCATTATATTAAAAAAATGCTTAATAAATTTAAACATGTTAACAAAATAAATTCTCAAATAATTTTCATTTTTCTCATGAACTGGCAACAATTTTGCTAAGAAAATAAGCATAATATTTATTCTTTTATCAAATCATAATTATTGTATGTTAGAAAATTTATGGCAATAAAATTGATGATTTACATCTTAGCTTTATATGAATTATCCACGCATAAACTAAAAAATGAAAATAATATAGAAGAAACTGAAGTTTTTTGGTAAAAAATGAAAAAAAAGAGGAGAATTATGAGGTCTAGCGTAGGTAAAATAATTTATTATATTGATTTAGATTACAAAGCTCTACCATTCTCTTTAAGTTTAGAAGTTGTGATTAAAAGCTAATTCACTCACCATTAGTTTATTTTATGGTGGTTGTGATGGTAGTGTAAATTGAAGATGACATGACAATAGTTGAGTGATAAGTGTCAAATGACAATAGTTGGGAGATAACTGTTAGACAAAGAAGTTCAGGTGATATTGATTGGATGACGACAATTGAATGATGTCAATCAGGATATGATGATTTAACTTAACAGCGATAGTCAGATGATGATGATAAGATGATTATAGTTATATAATGATTGTTTGACAATAGTAATTGGATGATAGTGGTTAGCTGATAATAATTTGGATGATGATGGTTAGATGATAATGATCGTGTGAAAGAGGTTAGGTTACAATGGTCCGACGACAACTATATGATTACTACAATTACGGGATTTTGTCCAGATGAAGGCAATCAAATAGGTTTTTTAAAGTTTTTGAGATCTTCAAGCTCTCTTAAAATTCAAGTTTAAGTCCCCTGTATGTGTAAATTGAGAGTTTATTTATAATTTTTTAGAATAAGATCATAGTAAATATAGTCAAAATTTCAAAACACTTTATCACATAATTCATGACGTTTCATTTGATTATAAAATAATCTATTAGCATTTAAATGACATAATAATTTTAAAATTGAGTGATCTTGAATTCGTTGTATTTCTTTTTTTGGGTAGTTCGATTTCATTATAAGTTTGTATGATTTAAATACCATTTGTTTCTTCAATTAATATCTCGAAAATTTTAATTATATTTTAGATGTTTAATTTATACTCATTTGGAGTTGGATTTGATTACTTTTAATATTGTAATATTTGTTTTTCAAGACGTTTAATGTGACTATTTTTAGAACTCAAATGATCTTAAATTTGACTCCCAAATTATATTGACATTGGTGCCGATCAATTGGAGTTTTTGGTGACATTATCAAATATAAAAAATAATGAATTTCCACTTAAACTAAGGGGCCATTTGGGATATTACTTCTATGTTTTTTTATTCTTCTAATTTTAATTTTTTTCTCATTGATAAGATGGTGGTGAGACCTGCAATGTTTTATGATGCAGAATGTTGGTCTATAAAAGTGAAACATAAAACTAAGTTAAATGTTTTTGAGATGAGAATACTTAGGTGGATGAGTGGCTTGACCTTTAGAGACAAAATGTGAAATTAATGTATCCTTGAAAGGGTTGGTGCAGCTCTAGTTGCAAACAAGATTAAAGAGAGTCGTCTTAGATGTTTTGGTCACATTGAACGTCAACCATTTGATGATCTGGTTAGGAGAGTAATGTTTTAGATTTGACTTATGTTAAGTTAGAGGTAGACATAAAAAAACTTGAGCATGTTATATAAAAAATGATTGTAATTTATTAGAATTAAATGAAAATATGATACTCAGTAGGGCACAATGGAGAAAAGGATTCATGTAGCCAACCCCACTTAGTGAGATAAAGACTTGATGTTGTTGTATGTTTTGATATGAATTAAATAACATTTGACGTCTTAAAAATATATTATTTTATTTTGTAATGCTTTGTTTGGTGGGTGGCAGTTAGAGTAATCATTGGTACTAGTTGTATATTAAAATTTTTAAATACCTTAAGTTATATTGAGTGTTATTAAAACTATTTAACCTATTTTGAAAAAAAAAAAACTAGTTGATAACAAACAAAATAAATGTATTTCTTAAAAACTATACAACAAAAAACCTTTATCCCACTAGGTGGGGTCGGCTACATGAATCCTTTTTCTCTATTGCATCCTATTTAGTATCATATTTTCATTTAATTCTACTAAATTAAGATAATTTTTTTATACATGCCCAAGTCATCATAGGTCTACTTCTGTCTTTCTTAACATAAGTTGAATATAAAACATTTACTCTTCTAATTAGATCATCAGGTGGTCGACATTTAATATGACCAAACAATCTAAGACGAATCTCTAATTTTGTCTGTCACTGGAGCTACACCAACCCTATCACGGATATATTCCTTTCGCATTTTGTCTTTAAGTGTAAAGCCATTCATCCACCTAATTATTCTCATCTCGATAAGACTTAACTTAGTTTTATGCTTCTCTTTCAAAGGCCAGCATGCAGTGCCAAATAGCATTACAGGTCTCACCACAACACCACAATCTTATAAAATTTTCTAAACGGTTCTTTTCTATCACACAATAGACCCGAAGCATTTCTCCACTTCAACCAACCAACTTGAATTCTACTAATAACATCCCCATCAATATCACCATCACTTTAATCAATAGACCCGAGATATCTAAAGCATTCACATCTTTTAATAATTTGATCACCCATAGTCACATTTCTGTCACTAGAGCTACTACTATTAAAATTATATTCCATGCACTCAGTTTTAGTTCTACTCAAACGAAGGCCTTCAGACTTATATTGGTATTTTTTAAAAACTAACGTAAAAAAATAAAAAGAATAATAAAATAATAAAAAATTTATGTAAAAAAAATAAAAATTTGAAACAAAATTGATCCTAGGGGCCTTAAAAGATTTACAGTTCTTTAATTTAAAAATATAAATGCAAATCATGCCCCCCATCTAATGCTAAGATATCTTTTGTAGACCAATCTTTCCTATAATTATAATGATATTTTTGTTAAAAATTACTAAAGTTCAAATATATTTTAAAAATTTTGCTCCTGATTTATTTGTGATGATCAAAAGCTCTAGTATTAAAAACATATCAATCGGTAATGAAAACTATATATGAAAATAAAATATAAATATAGGATAAAGCAAATATTAGATACTCATGTCAAGATATAACTTAAGCTAATTAAAAGTGCAATAATAATAATAATGATAATGCTTAAGCTGTAATGATATATTATTTTCTATACAGGGTATTTATATGGTGGTATTCGGGATTTACATATTTAACGTTTAGAGTTTGTTTGGCTATGAATAAGGTTTAATTGAAGTAGGATTTAGTAAATCCTATAAATTGAGAGTTAATAAATTCTGTGCAAATTAATGCCTGCAAATTATTTGGTATGATGGATGTTACATTTTGCTAAATCTAGATCAATTGTGTTAATGATGCATACAAAAAAGAATAGTATTTTTTTTCCTAGACTGGTTCTCGCCCCTCGCCCTTTATAAATTGAGACTTTACTCTTATAGAAGAGTTTTTATGATTCAGATTTATAAAGAGATGAATTTGAAATATTATTTTGTTTTGATTAATCTTTACAGGTTTAGATCGTTAATGAAGCATACAAAGATGGAAATTATCATCTTTAACATTGTTGTTTTAATTTAATTCTCGTCCTTCAAGGAAATTTAATGGAGAGTTGGAGACAATGAGGGTTTTCTCTTATGGATGTTAATCTTTGTGTTAAATACTAATCAACCCCTACAATTGCCATAATTTCTCCAAAAATTGATCCCCTCTTATCCTGAAATTGCATCACATATTGGTTCCACTTCTTAATTTGGAGGATTAAATTTAATTCATCTTTTTTCTTACTTATGTTTTCTTTTTCTTCTTTGATTATCTTGATTTTGCTTGTTCTGCAAATATCAGGTGGTACTTGATTTCATCTGCAACAGCATGATAGTTAAATGAACGAGCCATTAATATTTTATACTTTAAAGGGTTTTGTTCATGGATTTGTTCAATGATAAACCTCCAAAAGCTGCAACAAAGCAGAAATTAGATGTTCTTAAGGCAGATACAATCACGATAGAGAAACAAAATACTGATGCATCAAAATTCAAGTCCGGGCCAACTTCAAAATACAACTCCGGAACTACACAATCAACTATGAGTTGTTCCTCTTCCCCATCTTTTGTGAGGAAATCCGCCATGATAGACAAATCGAATGATATGCGTGCTCAATCAACAGAGCGGAGGAGGCCCAATAAAACTTTGCTAAAATCCTCTTCAGCCCCCTCATCTCCATTACGAAGACCTGCTTCGTCTTCACCGCCTGATTCATTGCCTTCCACACCGCCATCCTCTGTGCTTTATGGTATTGTAGATAAACCAAATCCTCCGAGAAGAGCATTTGGCGGACTGGCAACGGATGGGTTATGGCCAGCTATGAGGAGTTTATCTTCTTCCTTCCATAATGAGTCTTTTGTTCGTGTTAGCAAGAAGGATAAACCTGTAAGTAGCACTTCCTTGGATCAAACATTGAAGAATACAACCAAAGTAGTATCCGAGAGGAAGAGAAGCCCGCTTACAAGGAGGAACACGTCGGAACAATCAGAAAATTCAAGGGTAGTTGATCAATATAGATGGCCGGCTATGAATGGAGGAAAGGTGTCTACAATGGCATTCTCTAGGAGCATGAACTTGATTGATAGAATTGAAAAAGCTGCTTTGTTAATGCTTCAATCACGTGGACTTTCGCCTGCTAGGAGAATTCAAGTAAGTGATAGAATTGGTAAAGGCCTCCATAAATCATTGAATAAAGTTGTAAATCTGACTTCGCCTCATGTGGAAGAAGAAGAAGATGCTCTTCCTTCCACAAACCCTACTAGGACTTCATCCTTACCTACGGCTGCCATGCGCCACACTGCTTCATCTAATAATGCTTCAACACCATCATCTTTGATTCTTAGGCATACTTTAGATAAAAGAAAAGGAATAAAGGGTGCAGATATTGAAGACATTCATCAACTTCGATTGCTACATAATAGGGAAGTGCAATGGCGCTTTGTTAATTCTCAGGCGGAAGTTGCCTTAGCATCCCAGAAGATAGCAGCAGAGGTAAATTGATAAAAAAAAAAATAAAAAATTGTTGCATTACTTTTGACATTCTGGTTGATAGCTGCTAACTTTTTTTTTTCAGGATGAAAAATTGTTATAGTGAGTGCTAAGGGGCTGTTTGGGATAACTTTTTGTTTTTGTTTATTATTTATTATTTATTACTTATTATTTTTGTTTTGTTTATGTTTCAAGTTGAATTAAAACAAGTTTGATTATTATAGTTATTCTTATTAATGTTCAAAATACCTATAAGTTATTTTGAATATTTGAAAAATAAGTTGATTTATTTTTAAAAACAAAGAATAAAAACATGTAAAAGCAAACATATTTTCAAAAAAAAAAAAAGGTCAAACAGCCCAAAGCTCTTAAAAATATGTGTTTAGCTTGCTGCTTGCAAATAAGCATAGCTTTGTATGCGCTTTATTTTTTTGAAGCTTGTCCAGTATGTATTTTTCTTGACTTCTGTGTAATGCCTTCTAGGGAAATTTACTTACGTAGTAGCACACACTGCTTATGTATTTATATATCTCACACCTAAACGTTCATATTTACATATATATCATTTTGGTGCTTTAAAACTATGCATTAAATGGTGTATTTGACATTTAGGTGTTAATTGCACTATTTTTTTTATGTGATGTTAAAGATTTGAGTGCTATGTGTACAAATATGAAAGTTTAGGTGTGAGACATTTAAATACATAATTGCGTGCTATGTATGTAAAAGCCCCTAGTTTTTATGATTTATCTCTTGCTATCCGGATAGATGAAATGATCTTCTAATGCTTGATTATGGAAAACAGAACATGTTTAACAATTTGTGGAATGTTACCTCTGAGCTAAGAGATTCTGTAACCATGGAAATGATCAATGTTGAAAGCCTTGAGCGAAAAATAAAGTTGGAAGCATTTCTCAAGGAGCAGGTATGGCTTTATTTTTATTGTTGTAGCTTTAAAAGTATGCGCCTCGCTTCGCGTCATTCTCTTGAGTCATGATTTATAACAAATAAAAGAAAAAATTAACATTAACAGATATAGCGTAAGTTTCCCACACACAACTTTAGGAGAAATATTTACGTACGGAGGACGCACACAGCTCTCCGTGCGTAATCTCCTCCCAATAATCCCTCAATAATCTTTGTGAAGGTTATCGGGGGGTTATTGCGAACTTATGTCGGCGTTACTTGGAGTTAATACCCTAACACCAGAGAAAATGTGAAAGTGTAATCACAAAATGTGAAAGTGTAACCGCGGAGGGTATTGAGTCCAAATAATGTCGAAACAACTCTGCAATAACCCCCCAATAACCTTCACAAAGGTTATTGGGAAGGGATTACACACGTAGAGCTGCATGCGTTCTCCGTACTTAAATATTTCTCCAACTTTAGGGGCCATTTGGGATCATTTTGTTTTTCATTTTTTATTTTTATTTTTTAAAACATATTTGATTGAGATACTTATGTTTAAAAACATTCAAAGCATCTTTTATGTGTTTTGAATGTTTTTAAAAACCAATTAGATTGATCTATTTTTAAAAATATAAAATATAAAAATTTATAAATATTATAATAACCAAATAGGGTTATGAGTTTGTGGTATGAGAAAATGCTATTTCTTCATTGAATGATCCGAGTTTCTTTATATTTCTGATAGTAGTTCTTATTTCGAATGATAAAATTATCCTAAGAAAAAAAATAGGAAAAATGAAACTGATCTTAAATTATAAAAAACTCATTAATCACTAATACTTGAAATTAAAGATAACTAGGAACAGAATTACAGAATAGCATAAACCTTGAAAAAATATAATAAAAGGTGCATTTTCCATACATACCACTCAATTCCAGTGTATTTACATATCTAACACCTAAAATTTACTTTTTTTAACATTTATAACACCCATGTTTCATATCACATAAAAGAGACCCCTTTCTAGACTTTTAAAATAGAAAATACGAATTTTCATGCATATATATATATATATATATATATATATATATATAAAATATAAGAGTATATGATTAAAGTTTAGGTGTTGGATAGTAAATCCATAGGAATTGAGTGGTAATTTAGTATGCAAATCTTCCATAATAAAATGGCATATTAACTTGACAATATGATAATGGTATATGAGTAGATACTTCAAGCCTTTTAAAATTTGTCAATAGACTGCCATCAAATAGCTATTATCTCCTAAATAAAAAACCTGAATTTTTAGTTTTGTCAAGAAAGCATCGAATAAGTTCATGCCTGATGCAATTTTAAATTTTTAACTGTTTTTTTGCATCGAACTCCTTGATTATTCAGGCACCTTATCTCGAGGATTGGATTGTACTGGAAGGAGAATATTCTACCTCTTTATATGGGACAATTGAAGCTCTTCGAGTAAACATGCTTCGTCTACCAGTTATCGGTGGTGCAAGGGTATACCATTATGGAATAACTTGTAGTTTGTGCAATATACTTTGTATATTTAATATTTTCTTTTCATTCTTTTATATTTGAAGTTTTACAGACATACCACTCAATTTTAATGCATTTTCATATCACATGCAAAAACTTCAATTTTTGCATATATGCCACCTTATATATGCATGGAAATTATGTTTTTCACTTTTTGAAAATTAAAACAGTGATATTTTCATGTGATATGAAAGGTTTGGGTGGTACAAGTGTAAAAACTAAGGTTTTGAGTGTTAGGCATGTAAATGCATAGGAATTTGGAGGTATGTATATTTAATATTATGATTTTTTATGCCCTTGCTATTACAGGTTGATATACGAGCAGTAAGAAATGCTATTAGCTCATCCATTGATATTATGCAAGCAATGGGTTCTTCTGTTTGTAGTTTGCGATCCAGGGTAAGATCTTGCCCGTTAAACTTATAGGAAGATTTACATACATACCGCTTATGCCTATGTATTTACAAAATAATCCTTAGTTTGCAAATACAAAATCATTCATTACTACCTGATCCCTTGAGATAAAACTCAAAGCAGTTATATCTTCATGTTTTAAATTCAGAAATGGCTTAAATTCTTGAATATTCTCTTTTCAGCTTTTTAGGTCTCATCCTTTAAAGGCTTCTTCATTCTTATTTTTGTTTTTGTTCTCAATCCATCCCTTGAGTGGAGCTTGTCAAGGTGAGGACTAACTTGGAGATTTGAAAGCAACATATGTATAGTTGGATATATATATATATATATATATATTTGGGTGCGTACCTCGACCTGTTGGTTAGCGTCCTCGGTGTAAGACCCCTCAGGTCGAGGGTTTGAATCCCTTCTGACACAGTTGGCCTTAAGGAGGTGTTACTCGAATTTTGACCTGTTAGTTGGCATCCTCGAGGTAAGACCCCTCAAGTCGAGGGTTCGAAATCTCTCTGACAGAGTTGGCCTTAAGGCGGTGGTACTCGAACTATTAGGCACATTAGGAATGGCTAGAGGCTCGTATAATAGCCTCTAGCCATTTAAAAAATAAAATAAAATATCTTTGCGTGCGTGTGTTGGGCCATTTTTTGACACCCCTACATAGCTTAAAGTTGGAAACAAATTGAAGAATCCCAAATAACTCTATATTTCCAGCCCTTAACTTGCCGAAAAGAAAAAAAAAAAAAAAAGGCCTTTTGCCTTATATATAATGGACCTCATGCTACCTATATTCCTAACTAGCTTTATGCCCTACTTTCAATTAATAAAATATTTATAATATTCATTTTAGATTAACTTTGATCAGTAGTGTTCTTTAATGGCAGGTTGAAGGGACAAAACGCCTTCTTTGTCAGCTTTCTGCCTTAGCAGCAGAAGAGAAGGCAATGCTTGATGAATGTAGAGTTTTATTAGCAGCAACAGTTGGAATGCAGGTAGTTTTTTTTTTGTTTATTCTTTTGATAAAAATATTTACCTGAACAAAATATTCATCACACAATATGGGTTAAATTGGGGGTAAAATTTATCAATATGTTGCTATAAGATCAAATATTTTCGTTTTATTTATATTCATACCCCCCCAATTTCTATGTATTTACACATCAAACATCTAAATTCTGTTTTGTTTTACATTTATACTAAATATCCTTGTTTTTTGGACAATTACAATTGCAATACTCAAATTAGGCATTTATACAAAACTGGGCTCTGACTGTTATTATTTATGAATCAACCAAAATTAATGAGCACAACAAAACTAAATTGTAGGAAGATTTACACTCATTTCTTATGTATTTATTAATTTTTACACACGGGCACACGCACACGCGCGCACACACACACGGCGCGCGCGTCATCTTAGCTACGTATTTCGCTTTTAAAAGTTATAATAATAGTTTTATTATTATTATTATTATTGTGATGTGAAAGACGTGGGCGGCATAAATGTAAAAAAGTAAAATTTAAGTGTTAAATATGTAAATACATTAAGGATTTAGTGGTGTGTATCTAAATTCCCCCCAAAAATGTATTAATATGCTCACATGCTTGCATGTATTATGGCTAGCTCTTTGAAAATTTAGTAAAAGCAAAAAATGTGCTTGATTTTTTTTATGCTCTTCGAAATTTATTGAGATAGTATTATAAATGGAGGTAGTTAGATATTAATTTTGTAAATAGATCAGATTTCGATGTTACTTTACATGATTTCCCCTTTTTTAATGTATATTCTCATATGATCTGATGAATCAGGTAGAAGAATGCAGCCTCAGAGCACATATCCTACAACAACTTAGACAGGAAATGCATGCGTTGGGATTAGGGCTGTGAATTTAGCTCGAAGATCGTTAATCTCCTGAAAGTTGATTTGAATTTTAGCACGACCGGGATCGGATCGAAAAAAAAATGAGCTGGGCTATGAGCTAAAATTTTGGATTTAGCCAATTTCGCGAAAACTCTCTAGATTGGCTCGTAGTAATTTTTATTTTCAAAAAAAATAAAACTCTCTAGATTGGCTCGTAGTAATTTTTATTTACAAAAAAAATTATATATATAGTGCTAAGTAAAATTGAATAATGAGCTCCGAGCCAATTTTGAGCTGATTTCGTGCTAGAACAGGTCCCAATAACTCAATTTGAGCTAGCCATTTTTTTATTTTGAGCTGAAACGGATCCAAATAACTCAAGTCAGCTCACTTCAATTTCGAGTTAAATTGCGCCAGCTCTGACTCAAAATTGAATTTAACAAGTCACCAGCCACACTAACGACACCGATTGGGATGAGAAGAATGGCAGACAAAATCAGATGAGAAAATCCTGAACTTTCTTCTCTCTAATTTTGCCTGGTAGTTAAAACGTGATAATGGCTTTTTTTGTAATTTCATTAATTCTTTTGTAAAATTTTCGTTTTTCCCCCCCTCTGCAGCTAATCTCTTGGTATATATGCAATGGTAGCTTAGTTGATATAAATTTGTTTTTGTGTTGGTCTCCCACTTTGCTATTACTATTAGGTATTTACATGCATACAAACAAATTCTTATATACTTGAATAGCAAATAGGTAAAGTTTACTTTTTACATATATATCCAAATTTGTCTCATCATAAGAAATGTAGCACTATTTAAAATTTTAAAAAGTGATGCAATTTTTTATGTGTGGGCTAGGCGGTATGAATGTAAAAATTAAAGTTTGGCTGGCGTAGGAGTGCAAACAAGCCGAACACGACACGACGGCTCGTTTATATTTTGAGCTCAGACAGTGTGTTATTTGCTTAGTGATCCAAACACGAGTTGTTCACGAATAAAGTGTCATTTTGACAACTCTAATCAAATAGTCATAAGATGTTAAAGATTGAGTCAAGATTTAAAATTTCATTTAAATCTAGTTTAATAAATTTTATTATGTTTTTTTTTTCATTAATACTTTTAAATTAATACTTTTAATTGATTATAATTCTTTGTAGCATTGTGGTCAATTAATTTTTTTTAAGATATTATTCATCAAAGATATATATGTAATTGTTTTGTAGTATTTCGAGCCAAAACGAGTCAAAAATGAATGAACAAATATTTGTTCGTGTTCGACTTGTTAACTTAGCGAAAGAGTCAAAAATGAATGAACAAATATTTGTTCGTGTTGTTCTTGTTCGACTTGTTAACTTAGCGAACGCGCCGAACACGAGTTTTTTAACTAGCCTAACGCGAGCTATTTGAGAACAACGAGCCATTTTGACAGCCCTAGGCTGGCGAATATGTAAATACAATAGAAGTAAAGTGGTATGTATATAAATTTTCATATTATTTTTATTATAAGAAATTTACATATATAATTGTAAAAACTTTGTATTAAATATTTTGACAATCAAACATTATTATTATTTTTATAGCACCCAATACACTATATTAATCTAAAAGAACAAAAAATAACTCTTCTACCTTTCTCAAGTTATACAAATCACAAATAATCTTATTAATGGTCCTAATGATGTAATATTTGAATTTTGGGTGTGAAATAAAATATGTATTGATTTGATATTGATATTTACAAATTCAACTTGAACTATCAAATTGATATATTTACGCGTGTCGTGATCAAATTATCAAAAGTTTGATTAAAATGAAAAATATGGGTTGGGATTTTACGGCGAATTTTGGTATTTGGGTGAGAAGTTGGAAAAATGGAATAAAGAGGATGGTTAATTTGTAAATAAGAAGTTTTGTATGGTTGGCATGTAGTTGCCCCTGAATTATAAAAGAATTTTATTATATTATGAAATTTTCTATATGAATTATATTCTATCAGTTTTTTTCCTCTCTGCTTATTTTATGCAGAACTGAAGGTTTATTTATTGGGCATTTTACATAAATACCACTTAATTCTTATGTATTTACATATCCAACACCTAAATTTTGTTTTTTTTTTCATATCATGCCAACAAGTTCAACATTTAAAAAAAATGAAGATAATCTTTCTCGCCAACAACAAATTTTTGTCATCCTGCATGAATCTAGAGATGTGACATGGTTCTTGAGGTAAATATTTGAGCATTATAAGTTCAAACTTTGATTAAAAGCCATTCAGTTTTGATTTCAGCAATGTTGCAATCAACAATCAAATTGATCGGTTTGACAAAGCAGACCAAATGTTACCAAAATCCATCCAATAAGAGTCAAATCAAGATCAGATCAAGCCATTAAACCACTTTCAAAAGTTTTCTAACCATAATTAGAACGTTAAATGAACTCTGAGTCTGACAATCTTATAGTTAAATTGAGCATCTTGACAAGATGAAACTAGCTCAATATCGATTAATTCTGGCATCATTAAGACACTCATATGTCCATCAAACACCGTCAGATCATGGTGAACTCTTTGAGTCATCTGATAAAAAATGGTTTGAATTCCTTCTTTTATTTGCAGGTTGTACTTTATAAATAGTTTTATCTTACTCATGAGATGGGAACTAGACCCTGGGCAAGTAGAAAACCAAAACCCACAGAAGAGGGAGCTACTGCCCAACATCCAACACCGTGGAATTGACCAACTCTAGTTGTCGTCGTCTTCGACCGTCGTCGCTGCCGTCACCACTATTGTCGCCACTTACGATCAACTTCAGGCGACACCTCTTTCCGCCAATTAGACTGCCACACATTTGTGTAGGTTATTCTGTGTGTAGACGTGAAACATCTCCTTTCCTACGAGACAAGGGATTGTAAATGTAATCATTTTTCAAGTGGGTAAGCCCGCACAATTTTTACATTTTTGAGTTTTTCACATAATAACTTCTGATATTTCTATTAGTTATCTATTTCTATATGAGCGGGTGTTGGATTTTCGTACGGCGCTAAGATAATAATTCGTTACTCTACCATCACAAATAATCTGACATGTATCAACAAGTAATGTGATTTTAATGTAAAAATTGCAGTTTAGGTGTTAGATATTCAAGTACATTATACACATACTCGTAATATGGTGATTGAGAGTTTAATTGGTCATCGTGATGTCGCTTATTTGAATTGCGCATATTAGTATTTCTAAAAAAATATTATTGTTTATATTCATTTATTTATTTGGTCAAAATGTTGCAACAAGTTTAGGGAGTTTTATATTCTGCAATATTATGGAAAAATAATTTTAATTTATATGAAAAATATTTGAAAAGTTTAGGCAGGCACTCAAAAGCTTTAATATTAACATAATTAAATATAATATATATTCTTCACCTATCTTGATTTATAAGTAGTATTTATTTAGTTAAATTAATACATTTTTAATTAATTATTACTAATTTCTAAATTAATTCGGAAATAAAATTTATAAAATTACTTCACCACCCTCAATAATCGACGCTTCTTCTCCAAGCGGAAACCCTCGATGAAAGCATGGCGGACGGGAGGTATTGACGGGATTGCGGCGGTCAAAATCTTATTCTCTCTATCCTTTCCTCTACAAGCTGAAACCATAGAAGAAATACAGGCGAAGAAGTAGCTGCTGGCGAATGCATCGAACGGTAGAAAGGTATTCTTTCTTTTCGTCTAAATCCCTTAATTTCGTAGAGCTACAGGATTTAGTTAATCCTAGGTAGAGGCGCAGACTGCGGTAGAACGGTTCATAAAGTTCCATGAAATTTGATAATTTAAATTTTGTTTAATTAATGATAATTGATATTTTGAAGATAAATTTTAAACTTAATGATGTTCGAATAATGTAGTTAATTGATATTTCATTGTGAAGTTTGCAGAAAGGTCAGTGATAGCAGAGTGATTATTTAGTTTTTTATTGTTAAACGGAAACCCTACATATTAAATAGATGTATGTCAGACGAGACACCTCAAATTTTATGTGAAAAGCCCTCCTAAAGGGAAAAAATTATGAGGTCTAGCCAAGTTAAAATGATTCACTTTGAATGGTGAGTAAACGTGTACACATTTCTCCAGGATTAGTGATGATAGAGTTACAAAGTTGATCATAGTAAATATACAATAATAGTTCATTGATAATAGCCGCGATTTAGCTGCAATGAATATGGTTCTTCGTGTAGCAAATTGTAAGAGCCGTAGTCGATTACTATGGAAGTTATAGTCTGTCGTAAATATTGTAGACGGTTGCAACGCCAGCTTATCATATAAGACGTAGTGGAAGCCTTGTAGCAATTTACTGTGTGAGTTGCAGATGTTTACTTCAAGAGCGTCAATGTCGTAAATATTGTAGACGGTTGCAACGCCAGCTTGTCATATAAGACGTAGTGGAAGCCTTGTAGCAATTTGCTGTGTGAGTTGCAGATGTTTGCTTCAAGAGCGTCAGTTGGCTACAGAAATTGTAGTAGGAAGCTGCAGAAGATTTGAGCCATGCAGATCGTAGTTGGTCACGTAGGCCGTAAAGGTGAGTTGCGATGACGTCAGTAATTTGCAGGAGGTCGGAGTTAGGAGCTGCACGAGTTGTAGATCACATAGATCGTAGTTGGTCACATAAGTCATAGTAATGAGTTACATTACATATGTAGGTCGTAGGGGGCCAGATTCAGGAGTTGCACGAGCTGTAGATCACATAGATCGTAGTTGGTTAAATAGGCCGTAATAATGAGTTGAGACGACGACCGTTCGCTGCAACGACCAGTCGGGAGTTGCATGAGCCGTAAACCACATAGACCGTAATTGGTTACGTAGGCTAGCATGGTGAACTATGTGATGTCTGAAGGCTGCAGAGGCAGGAGTCAGTAGCTGCATGAACTGTGGACCATATAGGACACAGTTGGTTACGTAGGCCGTAGTGGAGACTTGTGATGACGTCTGCAGGCTGCAGGGGGCTAGAGTCGAGAGCTGCACGAGTTGTGAAAGTAGTTGGTTACGTAGGCCGTAGTGGTGAGTTGTGATGACGTCTGTAGGTCGTGGGGGCCAAAGTTGAGAGCTACACGAGTTGTGAACCGCATAAGTTGTAGTTGGTCACATAAGTTGTAGTGGCAAACTGGGATGATGTCCATAGGTCGAAGGGGCCGAGCCGAGAGCCGCATAAGCTGTGGACTATGTGGGTCGTAGTTGGTCACGTAGGTTATAGTGGTGAGCAAGGATGATGTTCGTAAAATGTTGGGGCCAGAGTTAAGTGTTGTATGAGCTGTGAACCATGTGGGCCGTAATCGATCACGTAGACTGTAGTAGTGAGCTGTGATGATGATGTTTGTAGGCCATGAGGGTCATAATTGGTAGCTGCATGAGCTGTGCACCACGTAGGCTATAATGACGAGTTGTGATGACGTCCGTAGGCTGCAGGGCAGGAGTCGGGAGGTGAATAAGTTGCGAACCACGCAAGCCATAGTCACATATTAACATAGCTGCAAATAAATGTAACACACGAGTTATTGTTCATTTACAATTTAAATTAATTTTTCTAATAAATTAAAATCAGCTATGACATTAGAATGCTTATTTTGTTTCTAACAAAAATACCTCTTTTTATTTTAAAGGTTATAAGAAAATATTTTTTTAAACAATCAGGTTAACAGTTATTAGCTAGACTAGATATCTGAATGCCATAATTATTAATATAGAATATTTTTTATTAATATATATTTTGCTGCTATTTTCTAGGTGGCTAAGACAACATTCGCTTTGGAATTAACAAAGCGCCATTGCAATTCCTTATCATAAAACAATCAAAGTTGGTGATATCTTTGCTATCTGCACTACTTATTGTTTTTCTTATACCCTAATTAACTTCTAATAAGAAAGGGCACCTTCAGGAGCATCCATTATTGAAGAGTAGAAAATATTTTGATATATAATATTGAATAAGTATCAAAATACTTAAATTCTATAAATATATCTTTTAATTTGCTTTGACTTTTAAATCTTTTTTATCATTGAGAATGATTTTTTTTGTCCATTTGGCGTTTCTATTAGTCATTTTGGTGTTTCCAGCTCCTTTATATTCATCTAGCCTACTAAAAAATATTTATCCAATTTTATTAGACTTCATAATAAAATAGGTATGTGTATTTAGGAATTTTGGAAAGCGAGTTGGCAGACTCTACTCTTCCAAGAGAAAAGGACAGAGAATGAGGACACTCCACCCAGTTGTTGCAGTCCACTTAATATTCTAGTATATGGTTACACTGTTATTTAGATCATCATAGTTTTGAGTATCTAAAACAATTATATCAGTTTATGTTTACTAACAAAAATACTTCTAATTTCAAATGTGAAACTTGTTAGATAGCTAAAGATCGTGTTCATTATCCACCCCACAAGTACATACTTTTTGCTCTTTTCTCGATTAACCGCCGTGACTTATGGGGATCCTCTCTTACTCCTAGGTACACCAATAAAAGATGGTTTTTTACTTTAATTGATGACTACACTCAGATGATATGAGTCTATATTTTAAAAGATAAATCGGAAGCTGCTATCAATTTTAAAAAACTCCCACACCTTCATTTTGACCAATATCAAAACTCCCATTCAAGTCCTTTGAACTGACAATGATTGAGGTTTTTTTAACTCTATATTAAGAGACTTCTTGATAAGTAAGGGTATCCTTCATCTTAGCTCTTGTACCGACACTCTTCAACAAAATGAGGTAGCCGAGAGAAAAAATTGATATCTCCTCGATGTCACTCGCTCCATCATGTTTCACTCTTAATGTTACAAAACATTTCCAAAATGATGTCATCTTTACCATCGCCTATCTCATCGATAGTGTTCCCTAAACAATTCACAACTTTTGTACCCCTTTAGCCGTCTTAAGATCGCGCTTTTCTAATAATCGATTCTTCAGTTTAGATTCCAAATTTTTTTGGCACACAACTTTTGTTCGGAACACAACCCAAACTCAGAGTAAACTTGATCCTAGGTCCATAAAATATGTTTTTCTAGGATACTTTGCCATCAAAAGAGGTATTAGTGCCTTGTTCACACCACAAATAAGATATATGTGAGTGTTGATGTCTCTTTTTTTAATGTGTTCTATACTTTCCTAACTCAGCCTCCAATGAAGGGGAGCTAGAGCCCTTGGGCACTGTTCCTTACCCTACTATTGTGGATATTCGGCCCACGCAACCTACCATCAAGGAACTCATGGACTTACGGAATTGAATATGAGGAGTAATTTGCTCTAGTTGCTAAATTAAACACCATTTGAGTCCTTTTATTCTTTTCAGTGAAACTGTATTGGCCTTTATTCCGGTTTGATGTCAAGAATGTGCTCCTGAGTGACAATCTGACAAAGGAGGTATACATGGGTCATCCTCCGGGCTTTGAGTCCGCTGATTTCTAGGGAAAAATATGTTGAAGCAATCACCACAGGCATGGTTCGGGAAGTTCATAAAGGTGGTGATTGGCCATGGATTCACTCAGGCTCAATCAGACCACACTCTCTTCTCCCGGCATTTTTCCAGCAACCAGGTAGTTATCCTTATTGCCTATATTGATGATATTATTCTCACAATTAATGATCTATCAAAATTGGAACCTCTGAAAGGTATCCTTGTTGCTTTCTTTGAAATACATTACTTGGGATTTCTTTGGTACTTTTTAGGCATGGAAATTGTTCGGTCATCTTAGGATATTTGTCTGTCTCAGCGAAAATATATGATTGATCTTTTGACAGAGAATAATTTTCTCCTCAAACTAGTGGTTGTCTTGATTGATCCTGATGAAAAACTTCTTAATGTTCTTAATGCAGTCTTTGTAAACAAGAACTCACTACCAACACCTTGTGGAGAAACTCATCTACTTTGTCCGTACATGCTTCGACATTTTCCACACAGTTGGGATATCAGTCAATTCTTGTATGATCCTTATGAGCAACATTTACTAGTTGCTCGTCAGATTCTTCACTATTTAAAAAGGCACCGGACTCAACTTTATTTTTTTCTCATCATACCTCTTATTCTATTGCAGTTTACACGGACGTGGATTGGGCTGGGTCCATCCATGATCGACGATCTACTTTGGGGTACTGCTCATTTGTGCGGGGAAAACTGATCACGTGGAAAGGCAAGAAGCTGTCTGCAGTTGCTCAGAGCAGTGCGGAAGTCAAATTCCGGTCCATGTCCCTAGAAATTTATGAAGCTCCCTGGTTACGCATCATCTCCAGGAACTACGTATGACAGTTTCCGCACCTCGACAATTGTTCTGTGATAACAAAGAAGTCATTAGTATTGCTCATAAATCAATACAATATGATCACACTAAGCATGTTGAGATTTACCAACACTTCATTAAAGAAAAGTTCGAGTCCAGCATGTTGAGATTTACCAACACTTCATTAAAGAAAAGCTCGAGTCCAGAAAAATTTGTGTTCCGTTTGTGTCATCTAGTGGCCAACTGACATATATTCTCATAAAGAACCTTTCTCAGCCACCGTTCCACGATTTCAAATCCAAGTTGAACATACTAACATCTATGCTTCAACTAGAGGAGTAGTATTAAAATATTTATTAATGACTAGTTTTAGTCATTATTAATTTTTATTTATTTTGAGTTATTAGCTTGGATTATTTATTAATTCTTTTCTCTATGCATCAATAAGATTACCCTGGTTCTATCCTAACATTATTTATTATTACTATTATTATTTAAAATTCACTTATTACACAGAGAGCTAATAAATGGTTTAAATGCGGTTTTATTGATTTTGAGAATGCGTATGACCAAGTAACACAAGAATTAACTTAGTGCATGTTAAAGAAAAATTTTATCAATTTTATGTTAAAATTATTTGTGATGTGTATTATGTTACTGACTAACAGTAGTTATGCTGACTATTAAAGAGTATTTTATCTTGACATAATATATTACATTAACTTTGTATCCTGTTGTATTCATTAAGGAGGTGATTGTAAACTTTAAAACGACTAATTATAGTGTATGCGATTTACAATAACTGTTCTAATTGATGAGATCTATGTTGGCCTAAGTTAGGGCAATGAAGGAAATGCTCGGCAGGGCCTTAATACACTAGTGTAATGATTTAGTATATTTTTTAAAGAAAATTTTTTTTTTTTTTTGATTTATCAAATTACCTACTGCCTAAGAAATAATATGTAATTTAGTGGGTGTGAAATTGGTAATTATGATCATATTGTATGATTTCAGCAGTGAAATGATTTGCGTGCCTCTTTTATTGGTTTTGAGAAGGTGTGCGATTGCATATCATGAGACTTATTTGGTGTGCATTAAGAAAAAATTATACTGAAGTTATGCTGAAAAACTTTGACTAGCACTACTATTTATAGAATGAGTAAGAGTAGTTTATCTTAGTAGATTATATTAAGAATCAAATTTAAGTTTGTATCTTTTTGTTTTGTGTTTTAGTGGTGCTTAAATTTTTTTTTTTAAAACAAGGCATCATAGTGTAAGCCATGTACAAATGAATTTATTAATTCGTGAGACCTCTTTTGGTATTAGTGGAAAGTTAGTTCATTAAAAGAATTGCTCATGAGATCAGAGACTTAGTGTCTGTTTGGGGCAGCTTGTGCGTTTCAGGATAAACAGCTTATCCTGAAACGCGGCCCGTGGGTCGACCGCGGGGGTCGACCCTCGACCCACGTTTAGTATAAAAAACTCAAACGCAACAGACAACGTTTTAAAAAAAGCACAAACCAAACGGTTAGATGTCATTTTAAAAAACGTCGCCGCACTTATAAGCTGCCCCAAACAGGCCCTTAGTCTAGTGGTGCAAAGATTGAGCTTGTTTCGGAAAAATACAAAAAAAATGATTGTCTTATCAAATTACCTTTCAAACTAAGAAACTGTTTTACAAAAAATAATAATATGTATTTATAATAAGTGAAATTTGTAATTTTGATTATATATTTTGATGACCCAACATGTTTATGAGTTTATGCACCATCGATCAATTCTACAGAGAAAAGATAATATAGACGATGATATAATTTGAAATTAATACTTGATAGTTAAAGTAGACTATGTGGTAAGAGAATGTAGTGGAGACTTAAAAAGCAACCTTTATAAAATTGCAATTAAAATGGTTGTATTTTAGTAGATGTAAGCGCTAGCAATAAAGAACTCTTTATGAACAAGTTGAGTGGAAATGAGAATGTTAAGATGGTGAGAGGCATAACTAGGAGTGATAGTTGAGAGAAATTTACAGGAAAGGCATCATAGGAGTGGCAATCAATGAAGATAAGGTAGTGAAAATAGATGGTGATTTAAACATTTACGATGGGGAGTAGAGGATTCAGTAATATGAAAAAATATCAATGTGAAAAGTCTTAGCAAGTAAAAGAATAGTAAAAGTAACATGGATAGAATTTGTGTTAAAACGATTTATGCAAAAGAATTCTAAATATCAATTAGCACTAAAAAGGAATGATGGAGAATTAGGATTTAAAAAACTGACTCCGAATAAATGGAGCAAGGCTAACAATAGGTATTAGTTCCTGGAAATAGAACATAAAATGGATGGAAATTGGATAACTATAAACCAACGTAAAAAAAATGGATGCTCATTTCTTAGGGCTTGTTGGGATAAATTTTGTTTTTTATTTTTGTTTTATTTTTTCTTTTGTTTTTAAAAACATGTTTGCTTAATGCATTTTTTATATATTTTTATTTTTTGTTTCTAAAAAAAATTAACACTTAAATTTTTTTTTCGTGTTTTGAGTGTTTTTAAAAACAATAATATTTTAATCAAAATACAAAAGTGATCCCAAACGGCCCCTTAATTTTCACCTGAAGGCCGATTTTGAAAGCCGAATCTTTTCTATTCATTATTTTTTTGCCGGAAAATTATTTCCTGGGCACTAATACACAAGTTTTCTATTTGTAGGAAGGGCTACAAATAGTGACATTTTGGTTGTTTTGTTGAATTATGGTTGATTAAACATAGGTTATGCTGCCATTATAAGATTTTACATCCATAAACCTTGTGTATTCAGTGTGTGGATGCAAAGATGCTTTTATTTTTTTCCCCCAAAAATCTCATTATGATTCACATGGCCTGTCATACACAGTTTTAAGTGATAGTTAATTGGTTCGGGGCATTCACCGACATACCACACAATTCTTATTTAATTACATATCTAAGACCTAAACATTAATATTTACATGCATACCACTCAAATCCATCACATCAAAAATACCTATGTCACTATCTCTTTAAATTTGAAATATATGATTTCATGCATAGGTTTATAACACCAAAGTGTTATATGTGTAAATATGGAACTTTGGGTGTTAGATATGTAAATACTTAAGAATTGTGTGGTATGTATGCAAATTTCCCAATTGTTTAATCCTTTTCATGTTTTCCTATTGGACAGATAGAGTATCAGATGGAGGTTAAGGATTCAATAGATGATATCCCTGTTCAAGATCCACCAGATGAAGAGTTCTCTGCAGCTGACCTGACTTGGACCAAACTTGGGACCTCGGAGCATCATGTTGTTGATGCAGCTCTTGTACCCTATGATCGAGTAGAGGCCTTTATAAGCGGGGAGAGTTCCAACGCAGAGTGTCCCACAAGGTTTCACATCTCAAGAAGTAGAAAAAGAGAGTGGAACGAGCTCAAAGACTACAAAAGTGATGAATATCTGCAACATAGGCTGTGAGTTACTTCTTTTAGTTTCATATTATATGTGTGCTATTTTTTTTTGTTTTTCTTTTCGGGCATGTACTTGTATTCCCCCAATTTTTACGTATTTACATATCCAACAGCTAAAGTTCAATTTTTACATTTATACCACCCAAAACTTTCATATAACATAAAAAATTTTACTATTTTAACTTTTGAAAAGTGAAATAGCCCTTTTTATGCATAGGTAATGTAGCATATATGTAAAAAAAATGAAGCTTAGATGCTAGATATGTAAATAAATAAGAATAGAGTTGTATGCATGTTAGACTTTCTTTTTATGTAAGGCTTATTAATAATTTTCCTTGTAGTTATTGGTGTTCTTTTGGCCCGGAGAATTACGGAGAGGGAGGAACCATATTACCTAGCCGAAAGTACCGGCTCAATACGAGAAACCGTGCTGCCCGACCACAATCGATGCGTGGTTGCACATGTCGTTTTGCAATCAAACGTCTATATGCTCGGCCTTCACTTGCACTCATAATTTATCACGAGAGGCGGCATGTTAATAAGTCTGGGTTCATCTGTCATGGACCCCTCGATAGAGATGCAATTGGCCCAAAAGCCAAAAGAATTCCTTACATCGGTAGTGAAATCCAACAGCAGACAATGTCTTTAATTTATCTCGGTATCCCTGAGGAGAATGTTCTTAAAACGCACCTGGAAGGAATCCGGAGGTATTGTGGTTCGGATGCAAGAGTCAACAATTTTGCATCACAATATGTTCAAAAGTTGGGGATGATTGCGAAAAGATCCACTCATGAATTAGACCTGGATGATCAGGCTAGCATTCGACTGTGGGTTGAAAGGAACAAGAAGTCCGTGTTCTTTTATCAGGATTCTTCAGATACAGAACCTTTTATTTTAGGAATTCAAACGGAATGGCAATTGCAGCAAATGATTCGGTTCGGCCATCATAGCCTTCTTGCATGTGATTCCTCATTTGGCATTCACAAACTCAAGGTATTTTCTTGCTCAAGTTTTTCATACATGTTAACTGTTAAAATTTTTATAGAGAAAAGCGTCAAAATAGTCCCTTGACATTTTTTGGGGGTGATTCTAGTCCTAGAGTCAATAAAGTGTCAATTTAGTCCCTAATTTTTTTTAATATCAGCTCAAATTAGTCCTTGCATGTCAAAATTGTCACCTAACATTTTGTATGGGATTATTCTAATCCTAGAATCTACAAAGTGTCAATTTAGTCCCTAGATTTTTTTTATTATGAGCTCAATCTATCTCCACAGAGGGTTATTTTATCTCTAATTTAAAGGGTCTGGGAACTTATTCAACATTTTTATAGACTCTGGATCAAAATGACTCCATGTAATCAGCCAGGGGGTCTATTTTGGCCCTTTACTCTTTTTTTTTATTTGACAGACTTACTAATTGTTTCTGCTTCTGTATATATTTTCAGTATCCGTTGTATACACTCCTTGCATTCGACTCAAGACAGCATGCTCTTCCTGTCGCATGGGTCATTACTCGAACTATAACAAAGCAGGATGTTTCTAGATGGATGAAAGCGCTTGTAGACAGAATTTATACAGTAGATTCAACTTGGAAGATCATTGGTTTTATACTCGATGACCCAGCCTTCGAGTTCGAACCAATCAGGCAAGTTTTTGTGCTTCTATTTGTATCTGTTTTTCTCATACTGCAGTGCGCGTCTTAACCAGGTTGGCTGTTTCTAGGGATATATTTAGCTGTCCGATGCTCTTCTCCTTGTGGCGTGTTCGTCGTTCTTGGCTTAGGAATGTTGTTAACAAATGCAGTAACATAGAAGTCCAACGGGAGATTTTCAAATCTTTGGGGAAAATTTTTTACAGCATATGGAATGGTGTGGACTATATGATTGCCCTTGAAGAATTACTACAAGATTTTGTTGATCAAACTGCATTTATCAAGTATTTCAAATCATGTTGGGTGCCAAAGATTGGTAGCAATCCATTCCCTCATCAGTTTTATTTGTATTTTCTGTCTTCTTCATCTATATGGAATGTTGGGTGATGGGTGAAACTTGCATTAACTCGGAGTGAAAAAAGCAGTAAATAAAAAAAGTTTGGCGCACGAAAATATGGAAGAGTTTCAGATAGGTTCACTTAAGTAATGGCTGTTCTGTTGCTGTTTCTGTAGGTTGCACTATTGATTGTGAAAATATGTGCCTAATTTCTGAGATACAAACATATGATGGCGCCGTCTTCATAAAGAAAAAAATTATGGGAAACTCAATTACGTAGCACACAATTCTTTTGTATTGGACAGCTGAAATATAATAAAGTAATCAAACAATTTTAATGACATATTCATAATTATTGGACACCTTTCTATGCACCGCATTTTCTTTATAGGGTAAAAATTAAGCCATCTCCTTCATCTGCGCAGAACTAATCTATTACTTTTCTTACTAGAGATGTGGCTTACAACCATGAAGACTGTTCCACTGGCCAGCCAGGAATCATCTGGAGCCATTGAGAGTTATCATGTTAAACTAAAGGTCAAAGTATATGAGGATACACAACTAGACGCTCTCGAACGTTTGGATTGGTTAGTACACAAGCTTACGATGGAGATTCATTCCAGTTACTGGCTCGATCTATATGCCGACGAAAGTGGATCTTTTCCTGTTGTAAAAGACGAGTACATATCTGCAACATCATGGCAGAGGGCATTGCAGATTGCCGATGATTCTGTCACCTTCGATGATAAAGATCACCTCTTTGCGAAGGTCTCCAGCCAGACGGATCGTAATCTCACACACATCGTGTGGAATCCAAGCTCAGAATTCGCATTTTGTGATTGTTCGTGGTCTATGCGAGGGAATCTTTGCAAGCACGTGATAAAGGTCAATATGCTTTGCGAAAGTAAAGAGGATTATCCTCCGTCATTATCGTATGAATCATTTCGGAAACTTCTTGTTGATATTTGGAGAAAACCCGTGGATGATTCGATCGAACTGGACCAATCTCTTGCTTGGGTTACGCTATTGGAGGAGAAGGTTCGAAGGCTTGTGGAACTCACGAGTTCGAGTAATATTGCTGCGGTGAGTAAAAGCTTGCCATTAAAGTGGGTTGGTAAAAAAGGAAGAACATTTGTTGGTAGGCCTGCAGAAGGTACACTTGCTCTTCCTTCTATTTCCAAGAACAGTGTAAAAGGAAAGGTTGTTTCTAAGAAAAAGAATCGAAAACGAAAAAGGATAAAAACACTATTGAATCACCAAGTTACATGTAGCTAGTTTGATACGTTTTATCAGACGATAAATTGTATTCATTTTTGCCTTTCCTTTCTGTAAATTCCTCATAATTGATCATCATCATTTCTAGTAGTAAGTTATTTGCTAGCTTGGTATTCTCTTTTGCTTCTGTTGTACCTCTGCTTTTCTTGTACGTTGTGTTTGAATTATTTAGATATTAACATTACGGCATCTTTTGAAGAATCCTAAAATCCTTATTTTGATTATTTCTACTAACATTTTATGTGGGGTTTTGTATATGTGGGGCGACTCATCAATGATGATATCATCAATTTCATAGATTGTGGTTCTGATTGTATTTGTTGTTGTGAATGAGTTCACCCATGCCAAAGTTTGATGATAAATCCTTAAGTTGTATATTTTTATAGTAATATTTACATACATACCACTCGATTCCTATGTATTTACATATCTAACCCATAAATTTTTACTTATATGCCACCGACCCATGCATGAAAAAGTGTATTTCACTTTTTAAAATTCAAAATATTGATATTTTTTTATGAGAAATGAAAGAGCTGAGTGATATAAATGTAAAAAGTAAACTCTAGATGTTAGATATGTAAATACATAGAATTAGGTGGCATGTATGTAAATGCCCCATTTCTATAATATGCCAAAAGATTTTTAGTACTAAAGAGTAGAATTATTAATATGTCATAGGGACGGCGGCGGCGGCAGCAACAACAACAAAAAACCTTAATCCCACTACGTGGGGTCGGCTACATGAATCCTTTTTCTCCATTGCGTCCTATTTAGTGTCATATTTTCATGTAGTTCTAATAAATTAAGATCAAAGTTCTATTAATATGTCATAAGGCAGTTCTAGATAAAATGCATTAGGCTTAATTCTTCTAATTATTTTGAAGAATTCTTATGCCCTTCCATATAGCTTTTTGTAGTTTGTAGTGAATGATGTTCAAATCAAATCTAAATTAGCACTTATGCCACTTCATTAAGTTCTTATTTTGGTTATTTATTTATTTATTTATTTTATTGCTTATTTCAATTTGCTTTCTTATATCGGTATGTAGCTCATGAAGTCTTTTGCAAAAGCGAATGCAATATGTTAAGCTTGCTAGATCACTTGGACATTTTGTACTGTATCTATGCACAATTTTAAGATGTATTTGTTTTGTTGTTGGCTAATTTGAATGTAGAATGGTGTAGGTCTCAATTATCTATGATTCTTAGTCCTCGTTTTGACTATCAATTTGTAGGTTGAATTTAGATTAAAATTTTAATATTGTCCATAATGTCTTCCAAATTTACGACACAAACTTCATTTCCCATTCAGATATAATGGTGGGAGATAGGTTATGGAACTAACAGTTTTTTTAAGAGAATAAACGGGTTATGTGAGATGCTTCATTTGTTTTGGAGTAAGTGGGAAAGTGTGGCATTTTTTTAGAACCCCTCAACTTTAACAAAAATGTTCTCTTGAAATCTTAGTGTCATGGGGTTAACTAGAATGAAATTTATGGATGTCCTTCTAAACTCTATAAGAACATGTATGGCTATGTATCTATTAGTTTTTCTTTAGCTTTGTATCTTAGCTTATTTTTGAGTATAATAGTAGGATAAGACTCTAAACCTCTTGTTTCAAGGATAGCCAATAAAATTTATTGTCTGCTAGGTTTAGGGTTTTATGTCCCCAACATGGCTAAATGTTCTACTTAAATGCAATTCATGAATCGGATAATTTCTCAATTATGTTCTAGGTTTGGACAATCATGTTCTCTTAAAGCGTTATATAAGGGTTATGGGTTTTTCCTTAAATTCTTGATACATGATTTAAAAATAAATAATCCTAGACAAGTATTTTTTTTCTTTTCAACCCTAAGTTTATATTTTAAGATGCATGAAAAATCTTATAGGTATTCAAACTATTTTGCATGCCTTCGCTTCAATATCTTTTGTGCGTTGTTAAATTTTAAGGCATGATGATCCATGATTAGGGTAAAGTCTTTGTGTAATATTAAGTCTCCAATTCCTCGAAGATGGTATGATAGCTAAGAATTCTTAATCATTGGTGGAGTATTTTCAATAAGCAATGGGATGATTCTATTGTCTAATCATTCTTCTAATTCTTTTTCCTGATAGATCTTATTTTACTTTAAAGGCTTTAGGAAGTTATAGCTGTCTAACTACGTGAAATTCTGAGGAATTTGATTTTTTTAATTAATTAATTAATTATTTATTTATTTGGCTCTGTTTTGGCAAAAGCGTTCGATACATCGAGTGTCTAGGTGAGTTTATCATGTTGCAACATTGTTCTAATTGTGCTGCTATAAAATTGAGATTCCCAATGAACCTTTTGTAAGAAGTTTCTAGTCCATAGAAACTTCTAACCTTAGTGAGACTATTGGGAGTTTTTTTAAGTCTATGATGAATTTTATTTTGGAAGGAAATGATTTGATTCCATCACAATAAACTATGAATTTTAGGAAAGTGATTTTGTTTTTATTGAAAAAATTAAATTTCTGTCAATTTTATTTTCTCTTAGTTTGTTGAAGACAAACTTAATATTTTGTGTATGGCTACTCTCATTTGAATGGTTTGAAGAAAATATGCATCAGTCTCATGAATGTGTTAACTGCATTCAAAAGTCCAAAAGACATGATTAGCTATTCATATAATATATCAATTCTCTTGATTGATTTCTTCCGCTCATCTTAAACTTTGTTCTAGTTTGGTAGTACCCGCTTAGAAAAATTTTGGAAAAAATATTTACCTCTAAAATAAGATTTAGAATCTAGATTTAGGATACTCAAGCCTTATGTTGATCTCTATGATTCTACCATTTATGTGCATTACCTATGAGTTGTCTTTACTAACAGAGAGGCGAGAACAAAACAAAGACTAAGGTGCTTCTTGCGAAAGGTATTAGTAGCTTATCTACTTATTTCATTAATTATGTGCGGTCAATTAGGTTTAGGATATTTGAGCCAAACACTAACATGTTTTTTGTGTTCAAAATATAAACAGACCAAAAAACGAATAGTGATATTTTTTAATGAGCCAAACACGAGTTGAACCTGGGCTCGCTCTTGTTCGGCTCATTTACACCCCTAATTAGCAGTACATCACATTAAATATTGGCTTCATAACTATCAATTTTAATAGGCAAGAAATAGCTAATTGGCACCGGTAGGCTTATGAGTTGAGAGACCACATTCATGGCACCACATTCATGACCTCCACCCAATCTTTAGAGTTTGAATTAGCTACAATATGACATCTCATGACTTCTATGATGTTATCATCTTCTCTATACAACAACAACAACAACAAAGCCTTAATGTGGGGTCGGCTACATAAATCCTTTTCTCTATTTAGTGTCATATTTTCATTTTGTTCTAATAAATTAAGATATTTTTTTTATACAATAAGCTCAAGTCTTCCTAGGTCTACCTCTGCCTTTCTTAACATAGGTCCATCATCTTCTCTATACAAATCATTAAAATTGTTTCATTTTTAGTTGTGTTCTATCCTGGGATGCTTTTCCTCCATGTACGATAGTTGAGCTTTTTGGTGATGTTTTAGGTGTCTTATATCATGAAAATTATGGCATGCAATGTCCTTAAGATTTTGTTGTTGTTATCTACATTTGACTTAATGTGTTGACTTGTGCAAGAATTTAGGTTAGGTATATCAATGGACCTTGATGAATTAGGGATATTTTTTGTGTTCATAGTTCATGTTCGAGAACCTTTGCTTTTAAACTTGTGGGTACACTAGTCATATATACACGCACGCGCGCCAACACATTTTCTTTTTGGAAGATTTACATGCATATCACTCAATTCTTATGTATTCATATATATAACTCCTATACTTTAATTTTTTACATATATCCTCCTTATGCATAAAAAAGGTGTCTTTCCTTTTTAAAAGTTTAACATAGTGATATTTTTTTGTGCTGTGAAAGATTTGGGCGGTATAAATGTAAAAATTGAAGATTAGGAGTTAGATATGTAAATACATAAGAATTGGGTGGTATGTATCTAATGCCCCTTGTGCTCACAGTTATTTGATATACTATTTAAACTAATGTAACTTTTGTTTGAGGTTCCTTGCAGCTAGAGTACTCTTTCTGTTTGTTAAACATTTTAGGAACGGGGCATTTACATATGTGGCGCCCAATTCCTATGTATTTATATATTTAACACACAAACTTTGCTTTTTATATTTCTAACACTGAAATATTTCATACCAGATTAAAAATATCACCATTATAGCTTTTAAAAGGTAAAATATATCTTTTCATGCATAGGTAAAGTGGTTTATATGTGAAAAATGAAGTTTATGGGTTAGATGTGTAAATGAATAAGTTTTGAGGGGTATGTATGTAGTTTTCCCAAAAATTGTTGAGGAACCCTGATAGAATCTTTTGCTTTGATGCTAACATGATGGATAGGTTAGGAGAGAGAAGTTATGGAAAGAGAGAAATGTTGCTTTCAATAACAAATTAACATGTATTTGAAAACAATCAAGTGTGAGAAAATAGTGGGATAAATGTGGTTGTTTCACAAACTAAGGGCTTGTTTGGGTTCAATTTTATAACAAAAAATACATTTGACTCACCCTTAGGGGTCCCTCTTCCCTGAGTACAACTCACGCAATATAATATATATATATATATTAGCATGTTTGCATGATACATTTTTTATATGTTTTTATTTTTTATTTAAAAAAATAAATTAACATATATTTTAAAACATTCAAAAGAGCATTAAGGTGTCTTGGGAGTTTAAAAAATAATTATATATTAATTAAATAAACCAAATATATTTTGGGTTGAATCAAAATAAGAAAAACAAAATGAAAAAAATAGAAAAAAAAAGGAAAAAAATCCCCAACTGACTCTAAGCCTTGGTTGGTTTGGAAACTAAGCTCCGAGTAAGAATTTAAAAAAAAATGTCAAAGAAAATAATGTATTTTTCATTCCACTTTTTGACTATTTATGATAAAAGATGCTATTTTTAAATTCAAAAATGAAACAAGTAAACTAAGATTATATTGATTTCTTCAAATAATTAGGTTTTGTGCTCACAAATGCATTGAATCCTTTCTAACAAATTATGTTTTAT